AATTATAAGTATTTTGTATAAATTTATAGTAAAGTGTTCATTTATCACTTTTATAATCAATGATAAATGAAGAAAAAAATATATATTTTTTGTATAAATTTACAGTAAAGCCATCGTCGTTTATTACTTTTATAAGAAGCAATATAAGTCAACAGATTTATAGATTATTTTATTACTTATTTTCGAAATGATAAAAAACTTCTGAAGGTACATTTATATTATAAGTCGAATTAGGCATCTCATGAGGATCAACAAAAAATTTATGAACTGATCAAGTTCTAATTCGAGAGAATCATTAAAATGAGGCCATGACACCTCTTAGTAAAATTATCAATGGACTTTTGTTCTTAATAATATTTAAATACATCGATAGATAGGTAGGTAGACACGTAGATAAATAGCTAGATAGATAGATAGGCAGGTAGATAGTTAGATAGATACGTAGGTAGGTAGTTAGATAGATAGGTAGGTAGGTAGATGGATAGGTAGGTAGGTAGATAGATAGATAGATAAATAGGTAGGTAGTTAGATAGATAGGTAGGCAGATAGTTAGATAGATAGGTAGGTAGTTAGATAGATAGGTAGGCAGATAGATAGATAGATAGGTAGTTAGATAGGTAGGTAGATAGTTAGATAGATAGATAGGTAGGTAGATAGATAGGTAGGCAATTAGATAGATAGGTAGACAGATAGACAGATAGATAGGTAGTTAGACAGATAGATAGGTAGGTAGATAGTTAGATAGGTAGGTAGATAATTAGATAGATAGATAGGTGGGTAGGTAGTTAGATAGATAGATAGGTAGGTAGATAGATAGGTAGGTAGATAGATAGTTAGATAGATAGGTAGGTAGGTAGATAGTTAGATAGGTAGGCATATGTCTTAGTGATAATATCACTGATGTACCTGTAATTAAAGGTAAAAGGGTCAATATTTTTCCCACACACGCGGCAAAACACGATCGTTTACGACCGTATACGGTGAAAATACGGTCGTTTACGAGCCTAAACGCTCCGTATACGGTCTCCGTATTTCTCCGTATACGATCCACGGCAATATACGATCGTAATACTGGGCCATGTAATACGGTGAAATACGGTCGTATACGGAGCGTATGTGGTATGTATACGGTCGTATACGACGTCGTAAACGGTCGTAAACGATCGTTTACGGAGTCCGTAACGCTCGACCTGGGTATGGTAGTATGTCGATCACAAGCGTTTCGAAAGCGAGCTTGTTTTGTGTACTTATTTTGGGAATCGTTTGTCAACTTCTTTGATCTTAATTTTATACTCATCACACGCATGTTACAATCTGGTTTTCATATTCCGGCTATAAGTCGTTATGATGTGGTCTGCAAAATTCGAGGATTCATGTCAATATACACATTTCACGTCGCTAACACATTCTTTACACTTGCAACACTTGATCGGCTTCTATCAACACAACGCTCAGTCAGTAAGTGATAATGTTTTGAAAACAATCTTCAGACACTCCAAGTGGGAGAATCAGGAATACGATGTGGTATCAGTCTTGTTTAGTTTTCTGACAACTCAGCCGAAAGGATAAATTACATTTATTTTATCCATAATTTCCAAGAATCAAAAAAAACTGACTAGTATTGGCTTTATTCTTGTTTGAGATAATTTTAGAGAACAATAGGTAGTGCTTGTTAGTATATTGGTAATAATGTCAAAGCTCACGGCATGCGAGAATTAGTTTCAGCGAGAAAATACCAATAACAGTTCGTATTTCATAGAAAAGTTATCCTAAGTGTTCAACAAAAGATAATCAGTTTTCATATGGAACAAAAAACATATTCTTTTATATTACAGAATATCGGCAATGGAGCAACTGTCTTTCCATTGCTTACAAACTGATACCAGCAAATGCAGTATTCTGGCTATTGCTTGCGGGTCATCGATTAATATATTACAACAATTTAAATGGATATTGTGCAGCTCAAGAAGGTCTATACGCACAGTTTGATGCATATCTTGAAACATTCGTGTCAGCAGTGTGCTCGCCTCTTAGTGTGATCATACTCACACTTCTACTTTTACAAAGTACTCGAAGTGTCACGAAACGACGTGTGGTACCTAATGCTGTTGTTTCAGCAATAACTGATCTAAATCGGACACATTTTCAACAGGTCGACTCACAGCTGACACGCATGATATTATTGCAATCACTAATTGAGATTGTTACTTATATCCCATATGGAGCTTCAATTCTCTATTCCAACATCACTGATGGATGGAAAAAATCTACTTTGCTACTAGCTTGGGAACAACTAATTATTAGTATTTGCATTATGGCTTCGTATATGTTTGCTGCGACTGGTTTTTATGTGTCGATGATGTCGAACCGCGGATTTCGCGAACAATTTATGCGTTCATTTGGAATAAAACAAGCGATTCGTCCGGAAAGCCGCACAATAACCACCTTTAATTATAGAAGCAATCGTGTTGCTTAATAGATTCTAACGAGTATTTTGAGGGTGAAATGTGAATGTGGATTTCAATAAAAAGAAATAATGAACCTACATCCTGTTCGTATTTTAACAAAGATCGTGTCATTTTATATTTTTTAGCTTTTCTTTTGATGATGTGGGATGTGGGTGTGTTATAGCTACCACAGTACCATAGGTATTTCCATGTTGCAGAGTTAATCTTATCATGTATTCGCAATGTGTATGTCTGATGATGGATGCATCGTCAATGTTGGATAGAGGGTGTGGGTGTGGAAGCTACCACGATGCGCTTCGACTGTTGCTTAGACAGTCTCATCAGGTGGCTTAGTATTTCTAAGTCGATTCAATTTTCGAATAAAATTCCAAAAGAATCAATGGGAGACAAATTACACTGTTATACCGGAGAGAGTGTGGATGGTGTGTGGGGTGTATTGTGTTAAGCTACCATGATATCGATATTTCAACTCGGCAATGAGATTTTTCAAATGGCACCTGTAGCGATAAAATTTCAAGGGTGTGGGTGTGAGTGTGAGAGAATGATGGACCCACTCCCACAGCCACACCCCGAATTGACATTTAACCTATTATTATTATTATCTATCTTGTTAATTGTGATTATAAAGATAAGTGGGATTCCGAAGATATATTTGACAATAAAAATTAAAATATTTCTAAGAGGACAAAATATTAAATATCATAGATGAACTTGTATTAGAATATCCACTTATAATTTGAAATATCTTGATAGTAGTAAAATGGTATAGTGTGTATATCTCAAAAGATAAAAACTACTGATATTGTGCTATATTGATTTATTTGAATATTTATTTAAATAAACTATTCATTATTATTATTATTACGAAACTATCATTTAACATAGTAAAAAAAAAGAAAGTCCAACTGTGTTTTCTTTTTTGAGATACAATAAATCCGCATCTGTCTGTGTTAACATTATAAAAACTATAATGTTACTTTATATTGAAAAAGAAAATAGATTGTTTATTTCAAATTAACCAACGCTCTATGCAATTTTATATATTCAGGAAGTTATAAGAATTCGATTAGATCTAAAATGATTTAAAATAAACTTTTGGTATTGTGACAGTCGTGTTGATCAATATTAATAAACAAATCATTCATTCTATAAATGTTTGATTGTTTCACTTCACTTGTGAAATGTGTGACTTTCATATTTCAGCCACTAAGGGAAAGTACTAACAAATTTTCTTTTGTTTTGTTCCACTTTTCTGTTTGTTTTCTTTTTTCTCTCATTCATCTAGTCCATGTTCGACTGTAATTGTATCATATTTTTTTATGGAAGAAATAATTTCAATTAATGGTATCTCTCATTGTGACATACTTGGTTATAGCTGGTTTTTTTTCTGTTCTTCGTATTTTTATTTGTCGGCGTCTTGTTGATTTCGTTTTTTCGTCCTCTCTCTAATATTAATATTCTTCGCTTCTCTATGCATAAATTTATCAACCGCATAGTGACATTTTGCTATGTTTAATTTTGAAGTAAATATTTTATTTTATTACATCTATTGATGGTTACAAGAATATCATCACAGAAAAAAGAAAAATAAACAGAACAAATGATGTGGTAGAAGTAATTAAAAACAAAGGAGATATGTGCAACGGAGAAACAGATACAGACGTATTTCTTTCACACAAAATGAACGAGAAAGAATTTCTAAAATATCATCTAGAAATGATATTAAGGTGCACAGAAAAAAAGTGTTGTTAAATAAAAATGTTTAGAAGAAACTCTCACACTAATTTAGTTCTATTTTCTTATTAGGAGTGATTTTTAATGAGCTAACAACAAAGGATTAGAAATGACTTGTGTCTATCAGTCAATTTATTGTCACTTTAGATAATCTAAAGAAATGTTCGAAAATTTAACTTTCGTTGAAGATTATTTCTTTGCTTATTCTTTTTCTTATTGATAAAGACATTCTAATAGTTTCATATAATTAATTACAACACTCTCGATGGTGCATTTTGTTTTTTTACTCTTGTAGAAAAATAAACATTACAGACTAGAGATAAAATATATAGACAGGTACACGAATACGAGGATAAATCATCAACATTATTCTTGTCTACTTTTGCCAGGTTTCGATTTTTTGGAACAAATACAATGTACTGACATTCCAAGTATTTTATATGGACACTTTTAAAGTACTTTTTCATGACCTACTTCGAGCATTTTAATGTAGGGTGAGTACCCAGCATTTTCTTCTATTCAATTGAAAAACAAGACGATACTGTCAATTAAGCTGTATTAATATGTTTACTTCGGACAAAAAAAATTGTGTATGATGTTTTCGTCATGTATAAACGTCTACGACCCCTCATATCTCATGATTCTGATCCATTTTCTTTTCAATAGAACACTAAATTATATTTCAACGTTCGAACGAAAACATTAATTTTCTTTCTTTTACCTTGAAAATACAACCAGCTAATTATATATAAGAAGCGAAACTAGTTGCTGTATTACATTTCAAATTTTGTTTCAAACATGATTCTCTTTATTTTGACAATTCTGCTTCAAGTTGGACTTCAATCCGTTGAAAGCGCAGCAAGCAATTCCTTATCTGACTGCAATGCAGTAGCTACCAAATTTCGCAATACTTGCAATGGAATAGCTGTTAACAACATTACTGCCACTACGGGTACCAATGTATCATGTAGCTCAGGTTTCACTAGTACAACGTGTCCCGGTACAATGTATGGTAGTACGTGTGTATTTCAACATAAACTGTGTGTCACTTGCTCTAGCAGCACAACTATTCGTATTCGTGTTCAGTCGAATGGACTGCCACTTTTTTGTCCTAATACACCTGCAACTATAAAAGAATTGAACGTTGATTTTGAGGTGAACTTTAATCCTAATGTAAATGTCAATTCTCCTGTACAGAATCCAACAACTTCATCACAATTGAACTCTATCGTTTGCAACATTAGTAGTCAAGCATCTGTACCATCCGCATCCAATTACGTATCTTACAGCAGTTCTGGTTCTTTCAATACACTTGCTGGTATCAGTGTTGATGGTGTTACAATTTTAAATGTAAACAGTGTCAATAATGTCGATCCGTTTTATCCAACTGGAAACTATGCATCAGAATTAGTTGATGCATGTTTAGGACATCCAAATGCAGCAAGCAATGGTTATCATTACCATATTGCATCGGGTTGTCCACTGAATCCTCCCACTGGGATGATCGGATCCTGTAAGTCTACTCCTTCTTGTAATGCAAGTATTGCTAACTATTCAATATCAAAATTTTCGTCATATCGTACTTTGACTGTAATTGGAATCGCCAAAGATGGGCATGTTATCTATGGACCTTACGATTCAACAGGCACTGAAGTAAGAATACTATCGATCGAGGGACTACGATTTCGTAAACTGGACGGTTTCATCAATCTCCATAGAAACTCGTAGAAGTCTCTTTTAACCCTTTAACTCCCGGCGACGCATATATGCGTCCAAACATTTTTAAATAAAAGTTTGGATTTTTGCAGAAGAAGTCGGGAGTCAAAGGATTAAGAACTAGCGTGGCAGATAGATCTCGTCACGCTCTATCGAATGGTGTGTCTTTTAATCCTTTGACTACTGGCTTTTTCCGCGAAAATCCAAATTTTTATAAGAAATATTTGGACGCATATATGCATCACCAGGACTCAAAGGGTTAAATCAGCTGTGAAATCAAAAATGATGTACTTTACTACGTAGAAACTTGTAGCAGTTTTAAGCTAGATGATTTTAATACGACAATTAATGTATGCTGTATTTTATAGGTAACGAGTGGTTTCGATATATGCAACGGTATGTTTTATGATTCTATTGGAAATTACGCCTATTTTGCTACGCGGACATTTCCGTATATAACGGGTTGTTTCGGTCCTGGTAATTATCCAAGTTTTCTTCCAAGTTGCACAACAAATAAACCTGCAGCATATACAAAATCAATATATGCTGGTAAATAAACTCAATAAACAAAGACCATCATGCATATAATTAGTACAATCGAGTAGTCAATGTTTTGCAAAAACTAATCTTTACTAGTGATAATAATGAGTTGAATAGAGTGAATTCTATATATCTATTGTGTTATGTATCATTTATCATATTTCTTTTCCTTCATTTTTTTCGCCAAGACCATTTACTTTTCTTCCTTTTATTGCTTATTAACATACATCATTTTTAAAAATAAAATATTATCACATTATCAGTTTCATATTATACATAAATCTCTCATTTCTTTCAAATAACGATTTTAGAATTAGAAAAAATTGATTTTAATCGTATATAATTTAACCTCGAAGTTTCTCTAAAAAACTTTATCTTTTATTTTTTAATGAAAGAGAGCATCAACTAACTATTGACATCAAATTGATAAACAATCTAAAAATGAGTACCTTTATCTTTCCAGCTGATTGTTATATCTATAATTTTTTCAATAAAAGAGTAATTGTTTAAAATTTCAAGCAATATTTCATATGAGGATCCAGGCAACCACACTATAGTCAGTAAACTTCAGGAAAAGATAAAAAAAAGAGACTTGTGTTGTTCGTAAGTTCTTTTTTTTCGTTAATGTTGATTGAATGTCGGTTTACTTGTCCTTACGATGAAAAGACAACGATATGTAACATGAATAAAACTATGAAAAGTCTCCGTTTTTATCGTATTTTCATCCCACGTATAATACAATCATATGTATATCATACGTGTCACATGTTTTACTATGAAGTGGTATTATATGAGAATATATGTTCTCATGAACAAATGAACTTTGAACACACAGTAAAAAATAACATATATATTAAAGCTATCACGATCTGTTTTGACCTTTCTTAAGAGTCTCATCCGGTGGCAGAGATAGTTTTGAAACGTTTTTCATTCATATTGGACAAGGAAAAGTTGAAAACCAACATTCATAAAGAGAAATTTAACAATTTTGAGCAATTGTGTCAAATGTTGGATGCACAATAAATTCTACACAAGTGTTACACTGAGAATTAATATTCTTGTTTCCTTGTTTTCATATTCTTTTTCAATATATTCAACGTAAGATTCATATCTTATCTGCAACATCTTATTAGTCTAAAATAAAAAAATTTTTGTTGATAAAATCTTGGCCAGTAAGACAAGAAATCTATGGTCGCAAAAAATCTTGTAATCCTCAGATATTAAATATCACATTCATTTTGTGTATTGACTAGAATGGTTTCTTGGATAATCTCTCAAAATTCTTACGTCCTGTTCTCACAATCAGTATCAATGTGGTACAGTAATTTCGTTTTCACAGAAATTACGAGCATGACAAGTATCAACACAAGGAAAATATGAGAAAATAATCAACTATTGGAAACGAAAAATAATGAAAAAATGAACCAGAAGTTCATATATTGTTTGATAAAATGTTTACCGAATAGATTAGAAAAACTTTAAGAACAAACAAAATCATTCGTGTAGTAAATATCAACTTATTTTGTTTTTATACATTATTAACTCTAAACAAGCACGTACAAGTTATTTACATATATATGGATATATAAGAATAAAAAAAAAGATGATCTATTCTCCAACTTTAATATGAATTTTTTTATCGTTGGATTATCGATAGAAAGAATGTTAAATGGATTTTAAGAAGAAAAAAACTCATCTAATACATCTAAAGAAAAAAAGAAAATGGCAAGAGTATCAATTGATGATCATTCAGGTGCACAAATAAAAACGGTATCAATTCATTGTGTTAGTACTTGTTTGAATAATATTCATATATGCAAATGTTAGAATAGTTTTCCATTGAAAGTACTATATGCATTACAAACACACATCATCCACATGCAAAAACGATCGTTTAAACAAAAGATTGTTCTGTATCGTCATTCTCAAAACGATTGTAAACGAAAACTGATCAAATGAAATATATTTCGAACAATTCAAGTCGAAAATTATTCAAGACACATCTATTTCCACTAAATAGCTAAATTTCTTCAATTTTGATAGAGATTTGAAGTTATACATTCATAGAAAAAAAATTACTAGCAATTACATGGGATATTTTTACAGAGCAGCTTATTGGTTACGCCGATTAAGATTCTCATTCATTCTGAAATTTACTATCAGATATATATTCGTTCAAAAATAAATGATTCTTACATGCTTAAAAGTTGACTACAAGACCACTTATCTGGCAGAATATAATACTAAGATATACATTTGATTAATAAGAGTAAAACTGATAAAAGTGGCTAATAACCAATGACTCAAATTTTTATATTAAACTATATTTATATTTTAATGAAACTAAAATGTTTCTGTGATGTGCTTCAGCTATTCAACAAAATATATGATATCGTTGCTGATGCCATATAAACTTTCAAGAAGATTTTTTCTTGTATTTTTTTTTTGAAAATAGCAACACTTTTAGTTTGTTTTCTTAATAATTCTATTAGACCAGGAGATAATGTTCTCTTAGTCTTATAATAACGTATTCTTCTGATAATTGTTTTAACTTTTTCTTGATTATTATATCGATGTTTCATCACTTGTCGTAGATATTAATGGAACAGATGGTTTAAGACTTCGTTTTGGAAGAAAGATTGACCAGGTAAAATGAGCACAAACGATAGGTGTTGTTTGAAAAACATAGAACCATACTTCATGACTATTGATTTGATCATAATAGGCCGATATCGATTGGATTAGATTAAAGCTAGCAATAATTACACATAACACACTGGAGATGATGACCAGAATAAAGGCTCGTCTAGTCATATCTTTCATTGTTTTACTTCAATACCATACGAGATAGAAGAAAAGAGTTACTGCGAGTAAGATTAATGCAGATAGTTTTCAAAAAAGAAAACTTGCATTCTTATGGTCAGGAGAGTGTGGCTGTGTGTGTGGGTGTCAATCTTTTTTCCTTTACACCCACACCCATTCCACCCACAGCCCATAAAAAAATTTCAACCATGTTTCAGGTATACGATATCATCGAACTGGACTTAGTCCTTCATGAAGTTTATATGGAGGATAATTAACTAAATCATGTTCAGGCCATTGACCATGTGGCCATAAACGTTTTTCATTATGTTCACTTTGCCGTTTAATTGATGATAAATCTTTTAAAGAATCTTCTACACGTAAAACTTTTTCATCTTTTTTATGTTCAATTGATGATTTATCATTTAAAATTTGATTTATTAAATAACCCTTTACAGCTGGATGTATCCATTTGGATACATGAAGCCAATGTTTTACGAGGAAGTAACTTGTAGTGATGATATGAAATGTTTTGACGATTTGATAAATAAGTTAACACATTTCAACACACATTCACGTGTTTAGAAGAAGGAAATAATACTCACTAAGAAAATGACCGGCTCTATCCAAAATACTCCAAAATAGCGTCCGTATAGAAATAATCCTTTTCTCGTGTCTCTAAATAATCAAACTTCGAAGCAAGCAGTTGTTAATTTTCCTTCATAGACCTATTGTCTATTGGATCACTAAGACGGATTATTTAAAAAATCCGAATAATAAAAAATGGGAATGTATCCATTTGGATACATCCGGCCACTAAGGGACAAAAGTTTTGAAAAAGTCATTTCTTTTTGTCCAGCAAAATTTGATATTTTATGGTTTTTCTTACATCTATATTTGTAGATGAAATTACACGTTGCCTGTTTGTCGATGTTTTGCAGTCCAAAGCTTAAATATTTCTAGAATGTTCTAAGATTCTGCAGTATAGTGCAATAGTAGCTTAATTTTTACCGAAAATTTCTATAAATTCAGGAATATTGTAGAGAGTTGCTGAATATTTCGTGATGACCTAGTTTGTAACACTAGAAAATGTTCAGAAACTCTTTAGAATGTTTCTGAATTTCTAAAAATTTTCGGAAAAAATTGAGCTACTATTGCACTATACTGCAGAATCTTAGAACATTCTAGAAATATTTAAGCTTTGGACTGCAAGACATCGACAAACAGGCAACGTGTGATTTCATCTACAAATATAGATGTAAGAAAAACCATAAAATATCAAATTTTGCTGGAGAAAAAGAAATGACTTTTTCAAAATTTTTGTCCCTTAGTGGCCGGATGTATCCAAATGGATACATGAAGCCATTAGATGCTGAAGCACTTATTGGTTCTGAGAAATAAACTTTTCCTATCTCCTTGGTCTAGGAACAACGAAAATCCATAAAAAGACTTTTTTGTTACTTGTCTTCTAGTAGCCGGCTGGAAAGGGATAAAAACAAAAACAATGAAAAATCAACCTGTTTTAGATAATTTATTAATTGAACTTGGTTTTGATGTTCCACTATTGATAAAATATATTTGAAATAGATAATGACCGATTTATGATCTCAACACCATTCGATAGAAATGGACGAGTTAATTTAGTTAACATCTGAAATTATAGAAATATATTTATTCTCACATTTATTTTCATATGAAATAATACATAAACAAATAAATTCTAAAAGCGACTTCTTTTGTTTATTTTTTTTTTATTTTCAACAAGATTTTTTATTTCTAATATTTACAATTAGAAATCCATATTTTATATCGGAAAATAATATTCTACAGAAAAAAAAAAGTTATTTAGAATTAATCTCAATGATTGATAATCTACCAATTATAAACAAAAGTCTCGTTTGAAATAATCTCCACATACACACATTTTACAATGCACCGTGTGAATATATCGTATCTCGACCGAAACAAATGAAAAATAGATCAATATTATTTCCTGATATTGTTCAGTTTACTTCAGTGTCAATCAAATAAAAATGTAGCACAATTAGTTTGATTATTATCTGATTTACTATGGAAGATTTGATGATGTATGTGTTGAAATGTCATGTGAAAAAATCGCAACATTTATTGGTAAACAACGTTTAACCCATTGAATAACTCTAAAAATTTCCACAAATAACATTAACAACAGCTGGTGCAATCTCAATTGCATCAAGAATTCAACGTTCTGTTCCATTAAATGATGCAAATAAGATTCGAAATGAAAGTAGAGCACTGGTAAGAATTAAATTAAATTTTTATAAAATATATCTTTTAAAAATGAAAAAGAATCTATCAAGTCCATTATTAGAAGAAGTTGAACGAGTTCAACGAGCAAGAGTTAGTGAAGAAGATACCTCGACAAGTTTAACAAATGAAATAAATGTTCAAAATCTAAATGAAACAATGATTGAAAAAGAAGAAGAAAGAATTAGTTATGACTTTTCATTTGTTAACATTAAAATATAAAGACAAATGATTAAAAGATGCTTTTTCAAAACATATTAATCCACATTCATTATTAATTATTGTAGTTATTTTATCAATAATATCATTTATTTATTTACTAATAGAATTAAAATCATCAATAATAATGATTATTTTTATTTCAATGAATGTGAAAGAGTTGATTGGCTTTTAAGAAATATTTTATCTGAACATGTTATCGAACCATTGCATCGATTAGGTGGAACATATCCTTGTAATCATCCATATGTTGATGTTCTTTTTGCATCATTAGTTTATTTTATCATGTTACGTATCAAGAACAATATGAAGGAGAAAATTTTATGCGAGAATTTTAAATGAGATTTATGGAGATATTCAAGAATTATTTCTTGATCCAAGATTTTCTAAAGCTGAAAAAATCAAAACTATTGAAGCAACATTTATGGTTGCATTTGATTTACAAACTGATTTAAATGATCAAAATCAAATTTGAAATAAGTTATTTTATAAAAGACAAATTGTTATAGAATCTGTCTGTGACCTTGTTGAATTTGCATTAGCATTGCAATCAATTATGCCAAATTTTAATGAAGCACTTTTAAATTTTTGCATTTGAACTTCGAATGGGTTTTAATTTTGGACCAGTAACAGCTGGAATTATTGGAACAACTAAATTATTTTATAGTATTTGAGATGATAGAGTTAATGTTGCTTGAAGAATGGATTCAACGGGTGAAAAGCAACAAATTCAAGTTCCAGAACATGTTGCTATAGCTTTAAAAGATAAATATCAATTTGAACTTCGTAGAGGAATTGATGTTAAAGGAAAAAGTCGAACGAAAATTTATTTTCCCGAACCAAATTCAAAACATTAACAATGACATTTTTTTTCTCAATTTTAGAATAAAATAAAATAAAATAGATTTTGTTTTTCTTTGCAAAACAAAATCGACCTATTTGATTCGAAAAAATGGCCCATGTTCTTGATACTCGTAATGGTTAGTTGAATAATTTGCAATAAAAAATATATTTAACCGATTTTATTTTTTTAGGTATTCATCTCGACATATCAAACAAATATTTAAAGGTTAAAGGTGTAAATCTCGTAAGTGTATGCGTGATTTGTCTATATACAGGATGTCCCAAAAGTCACACACCAAACAAAAAAAAATTAAATATCTCCGTTAAGGCTTGAGCAAATGAGCTGACTTTTTTCGTCGATGGTAGAGGCATATACAAGCTTTTTATTCATAAGGACATGTCTAGGTAGACCCTCTATCAATTAACCCTATTGACTTCAAGAATAAAAAATATGCTTTTTCATATATCAAAAAAAAACCAATATAATATACAGAAAGGAACATTTTTCAGAAAAGAATAATCAATATGGTAAAGCAAATATTCATATTGTTTGCCTTCTGTACTAATACACATTTGGCAACGCTTAGCTACAGAACGAGAGATTGCTTGGCATAATTCGATATTATTATTGAGCGATATAAATTCATATTAAATTAATAATTTCAGATAATCCACATCACCGTTTGTTTGGAATGTAGCTGCGTCTGTCCACAAAATTCGATCTAATATAGTTGGATCTTCTACAATTGAATCTAAAACCCATTGACAAAATTCAAGTCGTCGATCAGGATCATCCTCATAGGGCTTGTAATAATCTCGGTTTGTACGGTTTTAAATGGAGATCTTTCATGATACGTTGTAACCTTGAACGTGGGATATCAAGTTCACGCGCTGCACGTCTTTGTGACGTTTGTGGATTAAGAAGAAAACTTTGAGAAACAAGTTCCATATTTTCTTCTGTATTTATTGATGTTGGTCTACCACTTCGAGGTGCATCTTCTACAGAACCTGTCTCATCAAATTTTTTTGCCAGTCAGTAAATTGTTTGTCGAGCTGAAATTTCGTTGTCAAGACATCCACCATTGCTTCAGGACAAATATTCTTTGTTCTTTTGTTAAAACTCTCGGCATCTGTACATACGAATTCGAAGTAAGATAGAATGAACAATATGCAGCAAAGAAGCACAGATCTTACCGGGAATATCGAAAACGTACGTACATTGCTGCTAAAGCAATATAATGAACAATATAAATAAAACGATTTAGATCGTGTAAAGTGCCAACATAGGTTATAGGAGAACAGAAGGAGAAAAGTACGAAAAGAGAATATATATGAATACAACACGCGTTGTTTATAAGTTTATTCTATTAATTACATTTTCTCTGAATCAACTGTTCTTTCTGTATATTACATTGTGTTTTTTCATATATAAAAAAACAGATTTTTTATTCTTGTAGTCAACAGGGTTAATTAATAGAGGGTCTACCGAGACATGTCCTTATGAATAAAAAGCTTGTATATGCCTCTATCATCGACGAAAAATCAGCTCATTTGCTCAAGCCTTAACGGAGATAGTTAATTTTTTTGTTTGGTGCGTGACTTTTGAACCACCCTGTATTAATAAAAATTTGTTTCAGACGCCGGCAGCACTATACCTTCGCAATAAAACATCTGTTAAATTACACCTTTCATTATTATTTATTATGGCATTGGTTTATATTATCTTGATGATCATATTTGTTCACCAAATGTTAATGCTCTACAAACACAATAATACAAATTTAATTAATGAACATCATGAAGCTGTTGTTAAAATCTTAAAAAATTTCTCGTCTGATAAACTTAATTGTAATGAACGTATACGTAATCATACATCTTATGACCAAATAGAAATTATTCTCGAATCGTATGAAGATATTGTCGATCAGCATACAATATTAAAATATGTACGATCAGTGCTCAACATATTTGGTCTCTTTAACATATCAATAGTATTGATCGTTTATGGTAGCCCAATCATCATTAATACTACAACAGTTATTAACGCTATATGTCTTATCGTGGTCCAATATATTGAAACAGTTAATACATTAGCTTATTTAGAAAGTATCATCGCGTTAGTTGCCACGATTGCGACTGTACAATCTTCCTATATTTTGATAATAGCTATGTTTGAAGTAGATAGGAAAAATTATAGAAAAGCTGAATAGATTTTATGCATTTATTTTTCGTCTCTAAGGTTAGAATTTTTTTGTTAAAGTCATTCGATCATTGAAAAAGGTTTTTTTGTTTGTTGATGTGTGTCAACTGATTTTTTTTTATTCTCTTTGCTTTTTCTATTGTTCTTGCAGATAAAACAATTTTCCTCATGTCAGCTTATTCAGATGCTATGAATAGGAATTTAGATGATAAAATAGAAAAAAAAACTTTTGGTAGAATGGTAAGTGATAAGTGTCTACATGTGGGATAAACAAATATTCTCTTGTGTCTCTAAAAGAAGAATTATAAGTGAATGTTTTTTTATTTATTTTTAGCGACCACAACCACTTGATTATTTATTAAATCGAAATAAATGGATAATATTATTAATTTGTCTTATTTTAATTATCACTTATTACTGGATATTGTCCATAGTTTTTTCCATGATAAAAAATATTCATTCGAAACATGAATATTTTGATGAACATTTGAAAAAAGAAAGAGATGAATTGAATACAATTACACAAAAATTATTTCAATTAAAGAAAGTTGCTAGAGATAATCTTGATATAAATGATAAAGTGTGTCAGAAATTTTGGTCTTCAATTTATAGGTTAGATTATAATTATATATTTTATAATATATTGAAAAATAATAAACACATTAAAAAATCTTATGATAATACATTATCTTCATTACAAAATTATTTGATTTTAGTTTATTATATTAATACAATTTCAATGACGACGATTTTCAAAACACCATTTCGATTGTTTTTTTTTATCAAGTTTATTTACTATTATAAATTTGTGTATGCAAGCTGAATTTTTTCTTGAGGACGTACCAAATGTTTATTACACACTTATCATTGGTCTTTGTATATTTTTATTTTCCATTTTCCTGTTATTGAAGATAACGATCACATTATTAACTATTATTCATTATCGAATTATAAAAAATATTTTAACTAGCGAATAATTATTCTTTATCTTATAAACGTTGTACATTAATACATTACAATAATTGTTGAAAAAAAATCTAAAATATGTCAGAATTTGCTTTATTCTTTTGTATTTTCGTCGAATAAATATGGTAAACTCATATTTTGTTACTGTTTCTTTCTTTTCTTTTCCTTGTTAATTATCATTTTTACAAACATTCTTGTCAATACAGCATTTATTTGATAATTGCATCAATATTCTATATGGATAAATCCATGAGCATTCAACCACTTCTTGAGAAGTTTTTTTTGATAATCGTTGAATTTTGTTTTCATATGTATAAAGGGTGTCCCAGAAGTTCTGTTACAATTTTGAAATTCATCGTTCTCGCGTTCAATAAAAGCAAACTTTTTGAAACTTTGGCAGATTATTGTACATATCAAGTACTACATAACTACAAAGTTTGAGGTCTATAGCTTTTACTATGGATGAGAGCTAGTAACAAGATTATCATGCACTAATTTTTCAATTTTTCTGATCAGCTTTATTATTATTAAAAAGAAATACAAACAATGAAAATAGAAAGAAACGCACAATAATGGGTATTGATGTTCGCGTCATTGATTAACATCTTGATGATTTACTAATTTTAATCATGCTGATATTTTATCAATTATTGATTGACATAATGAAACACTAAATTTATTGCATTCCTTTTTATTGTTGTTTTCCAAGTGTTCAATATTAGTATTCTTGCCACTGTGATTTCTCTATTAATGCACGCAAACGTTTTCGATAGGCCAAAGGTCGACTAGTTAGCAGTGCGACTTTTCGATTGAATGCGATGGATTAAAACTTCCTTAACAGTATTATAAGAGAAATTACAATGGCAAGAATACTGATATTGAACATTTAGAAAACAACATTAAAAAGGAATGCAATGAATTTAGTGTTTCATTGTGTCAATAAATGATCGATGAGATATCAGCATGATTAAAATTGGTAAATCATCAAGATATTAATCAATGACGCGAACATCAATATAATCAGAAAAATTAAAAATTAGTACATGACAATCTTGTTACTGGCTCTCATCCATAGTAAAAGCTATAGACCTCAAACTTTGTAGTTACGTAGTACTTGATATGTACAATAATCTGCCAAAGTTTCAAAAAGTTTGCTTTTATTGAACGCGAGAACGATGAATTTCAAAATTGTAACAGAACTTCTGAGACACCCTTTATGATGTCATAAAACAGTCAAGAAATAGAAAAAGTCAAAACTAAAGAATTATATGTACTCCAAACAGTATTGTATCTTATTTCTTTTGTGTGTTCACAACTCTTCTTTTATTGTGTAGCTTTTGAAATATATCGATAAATGGTGGAACGTCTTTTTGATAAAGATCAATAGAATACTATATTTTCAATCTTTAGATATGTGGCTTTAGTCAACCTAACCAATAAGTAAAGAGTTATGCAGTTTTTTGTACTAATCATTATGAATGTTTATATCGTTGATGATGACCATTAACATCATGTTGCAATTTTCGGTTTTCATTAATTTGCTTTTGACTTGTTGGTATTGAATTGATTGGTTGAAAACGGAATAATTGAATAATATTTTCAAAAAAATATTCTCAAGCATTAATTGTTCTTCCTTTGATTTTTATTATATAAACAATCAAAAAAAAATATACTGATGGAATAAAGTTACATCAATTGTTGCTAAACAATTACAGAAAATAAATACACTATTTTCTATATTAAATATTTTCACATTCTGAGCATTAGAACGAATTTCAATGGAGGATGAGCTTTTAGCATATCATAAAGTAACATATTTTTCTGCAACCGTAAATAAAAGCTCAGGAACTTTTGCCCTATTTTTGGTCATATTGTTTATATTTCTCTAAGCTATCGATTCTATTCTTATTATAGACTAATGGACAAAAAATTTAAAAAACAATGATGATTTAGATTCGACTTGCCGATTATTACTGAATGTGAATATGGATTCTTCCTACACCACATGAAACTGACACTGACCGAATCTGATTTTCGGTAGGATACCAGGAGAAGATAAGAATCCATGTCCCAAACCGTCACTGAAATGGACACTAGGATCGTACCGCAGTCGACACTACAGCTAAGAATGCGATCGGGCCTCTGAGTTCTCTTTGAAGCAGAGATTGAAGCTGAGGCAAATAGTGCAACCGAAACTGAAACTGGGAATGAATTGGCGATGGGAATCAAATATTCATCTGAGACGCAAGCTGAGATCGGTGAATTGACTGAAACTGAAACCTGCATTGCTTCTGGGACTTTTAATGAAAATTTGACACTGTAATAGAGAAAGCGGGCAATCTTCGGATGCCATCTGAGGATCGTCATGCGACGTCGACTGAAATTAAGACGAGCACGTTTAGTGAATATTGAATGGGCTTCCGAATCGGATCTGAAGCCCAAACTATTATGGAGATGAGGTCATCGTCGGGATGAAATCTACAATCGAGATGCATGCTAAGACAGAAGTCGAGTATAGAAGAATCGTATGCGACTTCCACGATTTTTACAGAAACTTGGAGAGATATTGAGTGCAGGTCTGAAGCTCGGACTATACCCGAGCCTAATCAGAGTAGCCATCCCGAAACACGTTTGCTACGAGCACTACGGTCAGGTTCGAAGCTGACACTATAATTGAGAAGGCGGCCAAATTTTGAGTGCAGTCTAAAGCCGCAACCCAAGCCGAGGACAGTAATCGCCCGCAACTGTAACGAAGGCGAGTACCGATCTGTGAAAAACTCCGGGATGGATACAAGATAGGAAGTGAACTCCGAATGAGAGGTTAGGCTTGGCAGAGCTCACATCACACACAGCCTGCCAGATGGACCTTGGCATTAGATCTGAAGTCGATAATGTAACCGACTAGGTGACTAGGAGTGTAAGTCGCGTCTGCAGCTAAGTAATCACTGAAATTGGTAGCAACATGACGATTTGTACTGCGACATAAACGAAAATCACGATTGAAATAGGAATTATAATCAGAACAAGGATATACACGACGACGGAGACAGGAACTTGAACGAAGATGGTGGCCGAAACAGATATTGAAACTGAGATCTGGGTCGATATTGGGATCGCGAACGATTCTGAAAGAGAACTAATATTGATACTGAGGTCGAGACTGCATCCAAGCCTCGATCTTTGAAGAGAACATGGACATGGGCACGAAATGCTTTCAGAAGTAATGTTAAAAACTAATATCTTCTCTCATATGTGGAAGGAGCGTTTGAAGCTTGGTTTAAACAGGATTAACGGTATTGACCAGCATACTATTGCTTGTGAAGCCTTAATATCTTATCTATCTTGTACAATAATGGATAAAAAACAAATTAAGCCATGGTATAGTGTACATTTTTCCCAACCTTCGATTTATTGTCCCTCTTGCTCCGTCAGTTAAGCCATTCGAGTGGTAGGTGATAAAATAAGCAAAAGAACAATAATATAGGTATAAAAAAAAATAAGGTATCTCAATAATATATGATTATGTGCTATTTTACGTATATGGATGAATGCACACAAGCCAAACTTATTTTTTTCTAATATCTATATAAACAACATAATACTTTCATTTTTTTGCATAGAATAACTTTGTTTCATTACACCATTACTCTGCTCGTCAGCACGGAAGATTTCGCAAGAATACACTGTGTAAACGTAAGTTTTTCTGAAATTATATCCTCTTCAGAAGACCTTTTTCATTACCAGTATACAGCAGATTTTTCTATCCTTACGTCATACCATTAACGTAAGCTTGTGTAGTATTGTTTTTGTATCACCATAATTTTTTTCCTACCAACAAAAATCTTGGGAAGTTTTGTAGGAAATCAATAGCAGACATTAATTATTGTAATATCACTCTTCTCACCAAGCGTCCGTAGTAAGAATTGTCAATACGTTTTGTGAGTTCCAACGTAGAAAAAAAACGTTCAAAATTGTATTCTTTTAGCACTCGAAGAGGTTCGACCTCGGTAAAAATTAGATGTGATGCTGTACAGAAAACAAATGCTGCAGAAAATTTTCGTGGAAGGGCTTCTCTTCAACTTGGTTTTGAGGAAGTTGAAATACCTCTAGCTCTGAAATGTTATTGTTTATTTTTCAGGCACACCGAACGATCATAAGTGCAAAGCGGTTTAATTTTCCTGTGATTTCATAGCATACTCATAGTACTAGAAAATAACGATGCCCCAGCATAAATGATCCCCTAACTTTTTGCTCGGTATCTTTTTGAGTTTTCATAGCATCAAACCATAGGGGCAAACTAAGCAAGCATTGTTGTTGAGCTTTGAAAGCTGTACTCTATGATTGTGCATCAAGACCCTTCGATTAAAAGTCTATAGAGTTAAATAAATGCTACTTTTTATGAATTTTCGAAAAATATTTGCCTATTTCAACGGATTTTTCCAGTTTTTGAAAAAAATACTGGCAACTTATCCTAGTATTTTTTCCTGGAGCAAGGTTTTGTTTTGCACAAATTCCACTAAATGATTTTATACGAGGCTAGACACATTCTGAAATAGTTCTACTTCGAATAGTTTATGTGTCGAATAGTAAAATAAAGCGTAGAAGACAAGAACTAATTCTTTGAAAAGTAAATGCTCTACGCAAAATCTTTTACATGATGCTTCAATACCAGCAAGAAACGCGAACCAGTATCAATAAAAACACTTTGAAAGTTATTATTAATATATCCTCATAGTATTATTATGACAAGTTTTTCTTTTTATATCTGTGTTGATCTTTTCTGTTATGTAAACATCAAATGTAAGTGATAACAGGTTCCGGCATAAGGAAATATATAAATGGATAGAATGAAGAAAAAGGGAACCTGCTTGAAATTCGAATCGTACATCTTCTGTTATCCGGGCAGATGTGCTAAGCTAATTAGACTAGAAGGGACATTTTAGCCTACGTTTGGCGTCGAAGTGTACCACCGTTGGCGCCAAGAATATGGAGAAAATAACGACGGGTAATTTATCCTGACTCACCTGTTAATTTGAAAATATATATGAATAAAGCAGGCAGGCCAAGGAATCTTCAGAGTGGGTATTACCCTTGAACTGATTTAACTTCTAGGATTGTCCCAGGTATTGCTCGGTCATAACGAGAAATTATAAGCACTCAGTAATCTTACTATTGTATCACTTGCAAGTAGTCTACCCGCTCTAGAAAACACTATGAGAATATGATGAAAAGAGCATGAACCGGTAGGTCATCATACAAGACGCTCATTTCAATATATCTAAAGTTCGTATTGTTCGCAGAGTTTGTCTGTTATTCGCTACCATTTGTATATTCACAAAGTTAGTTTCTACGTTAATCGAAAGCGTTTTGCTAATGGTAGAAGAAAACTTGAATACGTGTATGTTGAAATGGAACACGATGATCAATTTCAGAAAGAGAAATAGCATATTTCCAATTATGCAATGATACTTTTAGTAACCTTAGTAAAAGAATCGTTGAAATCAAAATGCCGCTCCCATCTGTTTGTATATCCATCAAATGGAATAAGGTATTGATAAATTTTAAATTTACTACGTTTCATGTGCTAGAAACCAAAATGGCAATGCGATACAACTGCCATGGCTTTAGGATTCCTTTTAGTGAGTATTCTATGCTTTGATGATACGCCATCGCTGCCATGAAAACCTAACAGATAGGGACGTGTAGCGTGTTCGGATATTGTTTCCGCCGCCATATACCATTATATTTTGAAAGAGTTGTGCTTCAGATTCGAGATGGATTGATACCAGTGCAGATTTCAGATTGGTCTGTCTGTTGGTGGACTGGTGTATTTACTAGTCGGAAGAATATTTACCAGTCAGACTACATTGTAGAAAAAAAGAGTAGAAACATAAACTCTTAAAGGGTTTTTATTCATTGCACATCCATAAACCTTTACGAGGATTTATGTAAACAGTCAACCATTCCATATTTCCTTCCTAAGCGTTTATAAAATCGTATTTTGTTTTCATATACGGTTATAAGCGTTTATGAAAATCAAATACTCTTTCAGAAATTCATTTAACAGGGTATATGAAAATTTCACATAGTGTAAAAAAAAGAGTTCATCAAACGTTGTAGTTTCATAAATCCTTTACGAGTTTACAATTCTACGCATCTTTTTCAGTGATCTGCTATTTGCTAATCTTAAATGTAAAAAATAAAATAATTTTAAATATATTCTTGCCACTACATCTATTTTTCGCATAAATGTAAACGAAAAAAAGAGTTAGTTTTAAAACTATGTTTTTACCACTAGATGTGTTCCTTGAATAAATCTAAATTGAAAAAACGATATAATTTCATAAATTGATTCGTACCATTAGATTTGCTGATTGAACAAACATAAGTAAAAAAAACAAAAAGATTTAATTTGACAAATCAAGTGGAACTCGATGAGTTCTATCGATTGGTATAATCAGATTCTCCCTAACTCAAATGGATCGCCCAAAAAGTGACTTTTTCCATTTGTTCCCCATAGAATTCCGGTACCCTAAAAAGTATGTCTGCCCTGGATTCGTCCAGCAACTTGTCCCAAATCTCCTATTCTTGTTTCAAGTAGGACCTTATACACCTCAATCTTTTGATATGGTGTCCTATAATTTTGGGATAGTGAGTTTTTCGTTCTTATCATAATTTTCACAGATAGAATAACAGACAAAACAAATTGATAGTAAGAAGACATACTAGCTACCTATGCCTACATAAGCATATAATCAACACATCAACAACATTACTTCTTAAAAATGAGATAAACATTCACACAGACAAGTAGCCGACATTTTCTGTGTTTTTGAGATATCCTATATATAGGATGTTTCATAAATAACTAGGCAATAAGGCATTTAAATATCTCTACTGCGTTACAGTCTGAAGAGCTCATTTGTCCTCTAATGATATAACGATTCTTGAAGTTTTTATGATTATTAATGAACCTCACAAATAATGTACAAATGCATCATGTTTGAACAAGATGAAATGATCTCAATTTTCCTCTTTTTTCTACAAAGCTTTATTTTAAAATATTTTCAATCTTTGAGATTTTTTTATTTTTTCAATCATTGGCATCATACACTGCCGTTTCATTGGTTTTAGCCAAAATATTCTAACAGGATAAGTCCACTAATGTCAAGTTCAGCAAAATAACTGGAAAAAATCAATAAACGGCATTGCATGATGCCAATGATTGAAAATCTACAAAAATCTCAAAAACTGAACATATTTTAAAATAAAGCTTTTTTTGAAAAAAAAAGAAGATTGAAATTATTTTATCTTGGTCAGACATGATACGTTTGTACATTATTTGTGAGATTCATTGATAACGATAAAAACTTCAAGAAGCGCTCCATCATTTGAGGAAAAATGAGCTCTTCAGACGGTAACGTAGTGGAGATATTTAAATGCCTTATTGCCTAGTTATTTATGCGACACCATGCATAGACAATGAAAAGTAGTATTCGCTGTATGTTATAACTTGTAATATAGGATGGATCTCGTCGAAAAACTAATTATGATCGTGCTTCTACACTTACTAATAATGAATCAAGCCCCTGTCCAAGGTGATACCTTAAAATCTACTACCGGTATGCTTCTCAAAAAGATACCATCGAAATCAATGGATCCAGTTCTCGATTGGAATCTGGTTTGTATACAAGCTATTGCCAATGATCACGATCCTGATGTGACTTCGAGTCCGGAGCAAGGCGGTCCTCCATTTGTATCACGCGCTATCGCGATAATTCATGGTGCCATGTGTGAGGCAATGCTTGTCTTTAATCAGTGTTCCAAATCAGTATTCATACTAAAGGATCTACCGAGTACGAAACATGTTCCGAAAGAGCTAACTATGAAAGTAGCTATTATAGAAGCCGCGCATCAAACATTGTGTGCTTTGTATTCGAAACAGAGGATGATGTTCGATGCGATCCGTACAGCCTATTTGAAAAGAATTCAAAAAACCGCCCCAAGAACGAATGCAATTGATACGGGCATTATCATTGGACAGAAGATAGCACGCACAATTCTGAAGGAAAGAGAAAACGATGGAAGTAAAGCAAATGGAACTTACATACCAAATATGAAACCGGGTTACCATATAGTAGACCCAACTCATCCAACACAGAGATATACCACTCCTCACTGGGGTAGTGTCAAGCCATTTGTATTAGATTCTGTAGCACGGTTTCGTGCTGCAAAAATTGTCGGCGACTCACCTTCTTCGCGTCTGAAATTTTTATGCTCACGCAAATATATCAAAGCTTATAATGAATTGAAATCGATTGGATCAAGGTTCAGTAAGATCCGAACTCCTGAGCAGACACTAATCGCTCAGTTTTGGGGTTATGATAGTGGGCCAAAAATTGGACCTGCTCCACGTCTCTGCAACCAAGTGGCCCGAGTGATTGCTATTCAGATGAACAATACATTGGTAGAAAATGCACGCTTATTTGCATTGGTCAACTATGCAATAGCAGATGCGCTTATCAGTACATTCGACACGAAGTATTACTATGATTTCTGGCGTCCTATTGTCGCTATTCGTCAGGGAGGACGATGTACTCCGGCAGATCCCAAATGGTTACCATTGGGAGCGCCTGCAGATGGTAATGGTGATAATTTTACTCCAGCCCATCCTTCATATACATCAGGCCATGTAGCAGCATCATCGGGTACTTTCGAAATTCTTCGTCACTTCTATAGAACAGACAAGATATCATTTGCATTTGAATCAGATGAATACAATGGACAAACAAAAGATTCAATTACAGGAACAATACGACCGGCAATAACACGACAATATAAATCGTTTAGACAGGCAGAAATGGAGAACTACTATGCTAGAGTCTGGCTGGGCGTTCATTGGCCATTCGACGAACGTCATGCACAAATTGCAGCCCATAAAATCGCGTCCATCATTTACAAGAAATTATATTAAACATTCATTTATCTCTGACACTTGATATGGCAATTCTCAATGGATTTAAAAACCAGAAACAGTTCATTTAACTGATTTTTTTCGAACTTTTTATCACAAAAAATCACATGACTTTGATAAACTCACAAAAATCAAAATCATTACATTGATTTCAAGATTTTTGTATCATTTCCATGCTATTACTTTGATTCTTCCGAAAACAAATAAAATAATTGCATTAGTTTCATCGCTTTTACATTTGATGGCTGTAAGCGTTTGACATCCATTCCCATTCTCACTCATTCACAGCCTCAACATAGCACTATTAAAGCGTATAAAATTTCTGCACTATATTGACAGCATCTCTTTCTGTTTTATAGTATTCAGAGAGGAACTGAGAAGAGAATTCTGACACTCTCACCAAAATAGACCTCAGTCATTAGACTAGAAGGAATCCGAAAATAACAAAATCTATAACCTCTTTCAGGGATTATAAGTGACATAAATAGCATAACTTATGAGCCTCAGCTCTACACGAAGACGTTGTACCACTAAATTAAGGTTTTATTGAATGAACGAATGAATGATGAAATAGGTAAACTTCACTTTAGGCCACTCAAAAGATCAATAAAATTTTCAGAAAAATGGTTTATTCTGTCAGATTAGTCCCGAGTAAACTTAAATTGAGTTATCGCATAGTGTAAAATTTACTGAGCGCTACCATTCTATCGGATTTTTGTGAATACTGCATACATCAGTTTGGTTTTATGTTTTGAAATACTATGAATGAGTCCACCAGGAGCCTCTCACGATTTACAAAAGAGTCTTCAAATTGGACGAAACCTATAGAATTTGTAGAGTTTTTTGTACTGATCATTTTGGTAATCAAATTGTATAGGGTGTCCGGAAAGTCCTTAGAGTTAGGAAAATTTTCGTATCTCCTTTACGGCTCGACCAAACGAGCTCATTTTTTTAACAAAGATTGAGGCACGTTCACACTCCAAATCCATATGGACAAGAGTATTGAGAATCTTTGTTAAGTATCACTATTGACCTCAACAAGAAAATTTTACTGTTCCACAGAGAGGAAGAAAAACCATATAGTTAACAAAGGTTCTCACTAACTTTGTCAGTATGGATTTGGAGTGTGGATATGCCTCTATCCTGGGTAAAAATATCAGTTGGTTCGCTCAAGCCATAATGAAGAGAGTCAATTGTCTTTTCAATAAAGTGTCTTTTGCCCTATCCTGTGTAATGTTTGTTTTCCTAACTGTGAAACAGTAAAATTTTCTTGTTGAGGTCAATAGTGATACTTAACAAAGATTCTCAATACCCTTGTCCATATGAATTTGGAGTGTGAACATGCCTCAATCTTCGTTAGAAAAATGAGCTCGTTTAGTCCAACCATAATGGAGATATCCAAATTTTTGTAACTCTAAGGACTTTCCGGACACCCTATATAACTTTCATCAACAAAGGATTGAGATATCATTGAAATATCACAAACACGTTTTTTGAAAAAAAATGTGAGCTTCGCAAGTTATTTCATCATTTCTCAGTTGAATGCTTTCGGACTTGAAAATTTCTTGAAGACTCGAGAAGCCCAGTCAAAAACGTATCTTGGCACGGCTTAATCTCATTTCAAGTACTTTTTGTATAAATCGTATTGGAAATAAATAAGTATTTATAAATATATGTTTTTCGTTTAAATTTGAAATGATTTTTTTGAAAGAGAAATTGTTTACAAATAAGCATATGATTATTTTCCGATTAGATTCATGATCACTAGAAGAGATCCTTAACCCTTTCGGGACCGGTGACGTTTTAAAACGTCATTGAAATTTCACATGATCTGACTAGTAAGAATTCGAATTTTTTTTCGCGACTCTTCGAAGTAAATGTTGCGGCTGCTTCAGGGCAGCGGAGTGTTTCAAAATCATGTGAGGCTCAAGTCGTTTAAGTCTACTCGTTTCGTCGCTTATAATCACAATATATAAATAAACACATTAGAAGTTTGAATCTTTGCTCTGAAATAATATTCGTCTGATAGAATAAAGCTAAACCGTCATGCAAATAAGTATCAAATTCATAATTTAGGTGAGGTTAAGCCTACATGCGTCAAATTCATGTGAGGCTTCAGCATCACCTAGCCTCTACATTCTGCTGCCTTTTTTTACACGTTCGTGTTATGACCTATATCTTCTTTAGAGACGATCACAAGGATTTTTCCTCATTATCTACATGATTATATGAATGAACTTATATTCATCTTCTTTTTTCTTATTGTCATTGCTCAAAATAAGCCGATTCTGAAAGGGTTAAAATTGGATAATTGAAATCAGATATTATCCATCTATATCTTCAGAGACAAATAAGTGATATTATTTTTTAGAATGCTACCATTTCTTTTCCGATTGTTTCCTAATTCTGTCTCCTTTAAGTTGTTAATTTTATTTTTATTTTTATCATTAATCTGAATTCCATTTTTACCCCTTATTGTAAATGCAGAGCCCTGAAGAGTGTTTTATTATTTAAATAAATAGCACGAAACGCGTCGGCGAAAATAATCTGCATTTCTTTTAAATTAATTTTTATTCAAGCATATTTATTTCATTCTAATTTAATTTTCGACAGGAAATCGATTGCTGAAAAGCAAGATTTGAGATTAGTAGATTGATTTGTATTATAGAAATATAAGTCGATCTGTTTTCCAATTTTTTTAATTCAATATAAAAAAAAATAATTGAACAACTTCATTTAATTGTGATGTAGTTTTTAATTGATTTTTTTTTGTATTGAAACTTTTTCTCTTGATCTTCTTTATCAACTATTGCTTCTTCGACATTTGTTGATAAATCTTTTGAAAAGAGCTTCTAATGCCTATTTTTATACTTATATTTTTTTTCAAAAAATAAAAAAGAGAAAACTAACTTGAATTTTATTATCTACTCAAATTAATTTTTGATCTTGTTTGATATCTTTACATCTTTTTGTGTAATCGTTTTACTCTTCTAAGTTACATTATATGATACCTATGCAATAGTATCATATTAAAATAATCAAAAATTAATTCAAGAAATTTACTATAAAACTCGTTTGAAAATCATTTAAGTATTATGAAGAATGATTTGTCAGAGTGTGGATGGATGTAGGTTTCTCAATGAGAAATATTCATTTCATTCTAAATCGAAACTTTCTACATTATTTTTCCAATTATAATTACAAAAAAATTTGCATTTATCGAATTGTCTCAATAAATAACGTAGAAAATATCTCTTAAATAAATAAATACTTAAAAATCATACTCAAATAAATATTATACGATCATTTCCTTTTGGAAAGAGTGAGTTTTCTACTCGACTGAAATATTTAATTGGAAGAGTAATATTTGTTTTTTTTTTTCATTTTCCTAGTCTTTGGATATATCAGGAAATTGAAAATATATATTTCTCATTGATATCATGAATATTTTGATCATTTACATAATTGATTTGCATATTACATCACTTATCACCAACGTTCAGTGTTTAAACTGAGATTAGGTAAAAACCTAGAATCAATTTCATTTCAAGCTTTTTTTTCTCTCGATGGCTTCGAACAAAATGACAAAATATTTTTATATAATAACCAATTCATTTGTCAAACTTTGATTAAACTAGTTTTGTTGATCAATGATTGGATAGCTGTGGTTTTTTTTTCTTTACCTGCATCCAACAAAACGAAAGTATACCCATTGAAAAAAAACATTTGTCAAGAAATCAGATTAAGATCGATCATGTTTAGTCATAATCGCAGATTTTTCTGATTTTTTTCAAATTAATTTAAATTGATTAAAAGTTAGTGATCGTTCTTAATAGATTAATTATTTTTGTTTATAGATTAAAATCGATTTTCATCTCATTTCTTCTCAAAGTTTTTCACATGGGTACTATTCGAAATTTCCTAAATGCTACAATATCTATGGTATAATTCCACGAAAAAATAGTCAAAAGAAGTGATTATTTTATATGAAAGCTTTTATTCGTTAACAAAAAATTAAAGAATAAGCAGCAATTTATGTGGCTACTACAGAATATCATAACGGTAGTTGCTCACATTTGGTTTGTTAACGAATATTAAAAATTGAACACTTGCTTGAAATGATATGAACATTAATTACCATTGTAAATGTACTCTGTAAAGCACAAAATAATAACAAAAAAGCTGAACAATTAATAGTCGACTATGTTTTGAAATAGTATAAATTAATATATTTTCTTGTGAAAATCTTTCTAATATTAGTGAGAATCTTCTGAATATGTGTTTATTTAGATTTCCAAGAGTTATTAGCGGTAGAATCGTTTTGTACTGAACTTAATTTATTTCAATAAGTTAAAATATATGTAATAAGTGTTAGGGAGACTATCTAGATAAAAAGAATGAAGAAAAAAAAGGAATAAATGTTCGTAGTAATGTCATAACCATCATATATTTAGCACGCGCCAAAATTTAGAGTCGAATAGCCTCCATAAGTACCACCTTCAGCATATCCAATGCCAATCGCCTTAGAATCTGGGTTCATAATATTAGCACAATGTCCTTCGCTTTTGAGCCAACGATTGACTGTGTCTTCAGGATCTGTACCGCCAGCAATATTTTCACCATTGAAACAATCTGTCGAATATTTTTCACGTTCTATGCGATCCTCAGAACTACTTCCATCTATACCTGTATGATTAAAGTAATTATAATCAACCATGCTTTGGGAGTGTTTCTGTGCGGCGACGCCTAATTCATCATTCCAATTAAGTAATTCTGTAGCAGCATAATTAATCCCACCACAAACGCGAGCTTCTCCACGTGCTGTATTTATTCGGTCGAATGCTACTTGTGCAAAATTGTTGGTGAGACCTCGACGTTCGAAATAACGGAGAAAATTAAGAATATCATTATCCTCGTTGTTATTTCCAAGCGATCTCAGTATTTGACTATAGCTGGGCCATGACTCACCTATCGCTCCAGCTCTGCCTAATACTGCACGAAGTCGAAAACGTTGATCGTTTGCTGGCCATGAATGAGTCAATTATCCAAGAGTCAAGCAAATAAAAGCCCAAAACATCCACCTAGTAGTCATTGTATAAACTTCAGAGAACTTGACTAAATAAAATAAAATATTTTTACATCTTTTCTATGTATTTTATATAGTGTACATTGACATTAGTAATGAAAACAGAATCAATATTCATACAATGACTATCCTGTTGTTCAATCAATATCACAGATCAATGAATAATATATAAAAAAAACCGAAAGAAATTGTTCATAGAATGTTGAATTTTTAGTAATTCGATCTTTTTAATTTCTCCTGCTAAATTGATCGAAAACTAGTCGCGTTCAGTAGTGTTAGGGGATTCTTGATCTATGCTTTTTAAGCATCTTTGGAATGAGAAACAAACATCATCATCAGAGGAAGTTTGTATAGAATAGAATAATTGTAGCATAAGTTTTCTGCGAAAATACTTCAGAACTATATTAGTGATGAAAAACAGAAAATTGAAAAATGTTAATTTTCATGTCTAGAAAGAAGGATGGAGATTCCTTTCAACTCGTATCTTTGCTGACAAAAATAAGTTGTTGTTATTGTGTATCAAATGTACAGTGCCTATATAGGTTTTATTGAGGTCCAAGTATGATTTGAGTCTCCAACAGAAATAAATTGAAAAATAAATTGTGGATAATTTAAACTCAAAATAAATAATTTTTTTTGTCTGATGAAAACCTAAATTTATTTGAAATTTTTGTTACAATAATTTTCAATATAAATTTACGAAATTTAAATTTAAAATACATTTAAATTAGATATAAATTCGACTTCGATTGACTTCAGTTGGATGTAAATGGATTTATGCCAGATTTAAATGAATTTAAATCAAATGAAAATGCATTTAAACCCAATTTAAATGCGTTAGAATCGGATTTAAACCTATTGGAATCGATTGAAATTTATTGAAATGGGATTTAAATCGATGTACATGAATTCAAACGGATTTGAATCGGATAGAAATCCAATGAAAATAGATTTGAATTCAATTTACATTTATTTGAATGAGTTTAAACACAATTCTAATACATTTAAGTCCAATTTAAATCGATTAAAATACCTTTAAAAATGTTTCAAATATGTTTAAATAGACTGAAATGGTTCTGAACCCAATTTAAATCGATTTAAACTACTGTAAACCAGTTTTAGTCGATTTAAATCCAATTTAAAATGACTTCAACTCACTTTAAATAAATTTTAATCAATTGAAATTATTTTTATATCAATTTAAAATATATGAATCAATTTAAATCAAACTAAATCCCGTTTAAACTAATTCAAGTCCAATTCGAATTTATCTAAAATGAATCTAAATAAGTTTGAATTAATTCAAATTGACTTAAACTCAGTATAAATGAATTTAAACCCATTAAAAGCATTTTGAATCAAATTCAATTAATTTGAATTAAATCTAAATAAGTTTCAATTAGTTTAAATTGGTTTAAATTCAGTTTAAATTATTTCAATAAATTTAAATTGTTTAAAGAAATTTAATCTATTTAAAGGAATTTAAATTATTTAAAGAAATTTAAACTATTTAAAGAAATTTAAATTAATATAAATGCAGTTTAAATTAATTGAAATCGAATTTGAATTGGCTTAAATTAAATTGAATAATTTTAAATTAATTCATGTGTAATTTAAGTTAATTTAAATTGGTTTAGTTGCCTCTCGAAAAAAAGCAACCATTTATCTCAAAAGAATGCTATCAGACGTGTGTTAATGAGTATTTTCGTACCATTAGGAAACAGCAGCAATGGAGAACGACTCTTTTATACAGAGTCTTTTGTTCTGATGGTCGGATTTTAACATATGATACTAATTTATTTCTTTATTTCTTATTTATTTCTTGTTTTTTTGAAGTCGTGTATTTTGACAATAGAGATGATTAATTCGAATTTAAAATAGTTATTCAATCCAGAAATAAATTTTGAATTTATTCTACATTAAAATTTAAACGTATTTTAAATGTAAATTGACAAGAATTTAAGTTTAATATAAATTCGCAGAAAAATGCCATCCGTGCCTTGTCGGTTACTCAAGCTGGTCTCGATGAATTCAGCTGAAAAACTTAGTAGTATATTATTATAGATCTGAAAGTTTTCAATAAAATTTTGAAAACTCTAGGTCAATGTGGAGACGTGATAGAAACATCGGAGAACTCCACTACAGGACAGCTTAATGATTAATAGAATTCTGATTTTATGCAACGAGCGTCAGACCTAAGAAATTTGGTATATATGATGTATGTTAGAGCTCAAAAAAGCAAGAATGGAACACTCAAATACGAAACGACAAACAGACATTTTCTTAGATGATCGTTTAATAATGGCGTCAGAAACCTTCAAGACTACGGCAATATATTACTGAAATAGACTGCAATTTCAAAAAACATACATTTACTTGTTAAATTCGTCTGGAATATTTTCTCTCTAATATCGGAATAATAGTTTAATTTTCTCGACGTTGTTTTTTGAGCGAGAATAAAGCAATAGGCTATTTATATATACATTGCGAAATACATCTGATTTTTGAGTGTAAATGTCTATATTTGGATTGAACGAGCATAAAATATAGATCACATATTGCGCTTGTTTCATACAAATATTACAGTTGCTTTGCTTGCTCTGTCTCACGTCGTTCACATAGATCAATCGACGGCGACGAAGAGTCAGATGAATGTTCGCCAGAATGTGCTCTATATCATGTACTAACGATTTTCTATTTATAATCGTCGCACAGAATGGACAAAATATTAAAGTTTCACTGACGACCCTTTCTCGCTCAAAGATATAATCATCATTAAACCCTAATAAGAACAAAAATAGCAACAATAACAATAACAGAGAGAAGAAAAAACAAAGAGAGAAAATCGAAAAGCATGAGAAAAATCAATAATAACGAAAGTAAAATAGTGTGCATCTTAGAGTAACATCTTTTAACACTAGTATATCTCACTATATGTTCAGGTATTTTATTCCTTCGTTAAATTTTATGAATTGATGGTTTTGAAGGGTTTCTTGTAATAAGAACATTTTTAAAAAACTGAAAAATTAATTTTCATTATACAATTGAGTTTATTTTATTCATTTTATGCAACGTTTAAAACAAATAGAAGTAACTACAATCCGGTGAAAAAAAAACTTCTAGAACTACTATCAATAGCATTAACAAATAGTTTATTTAAAAGAATTGAGAAAAAAATTATACAAAGATTAATTTTTAATATTGTTAATCGATTTTATCTGGATGATCGGATAAGTTTCAATTGCTTCCTAAAATAAACAATAATAAAAATAAGTGATGAGAATTATACAATAATTTAAATGGTTATAAATTACTAGCATTATTTAATAACAGTTTTTGGAAAGAAAATACTATATATAGATTAACATAATGTATTACCTTCAGAAAAATATTTTTTTGTTTCATGAATCTGAATAAGTTTGTACAGCTAGATTTTAATGCTTGAACTTTATCTTCACCAAATAAACCATAATGGAGATTGATTTGATTTTTAGGAATGAGCTGCTAATAGAAAAAAATAATAAAAATAAATTCATATGTGCTTTTAAGATTATGCAAGCTTATTTGAACGAATTGTTCAAACTTAGCAATATTTCAACGAGTTATTATAATCAATCAAAATGAAATACACTCTGGAACTTACCAATTGGTTACTGATAAAGCTAGATAAGGGTCGATGATTCTTTTGATTGACTTCATCTCTTAAATAATACATTGATGATGTACATACGAAATATCCATTTCAATTTTAACTGGACTATCATTATTATTTGTTGTATTGATTAACACATACATTGATTCGACTTGTTGACATAATTGCATTAAAGACTGTTCTCATTGTTCCTTTTCTAAAACCAAACATTCCTAAAAAACACAAAAAGATCAGAGAATATATGTAAAACAATAGTTTGATTTATACTCGACGAAATACTTGGCTAATCTTCTCGTATTTCAATTTTTGTTCTGACATTTGATGATCATATGATTGTTGCTTGTTTATGAATGCCTTAGACGAATAACGATATACTTGTCGACCACGAGAAAATTTTTGTGTTAATACTGATGCCAAAAATATTTAAACGAGAAAAAAATACAGTAAAGATGAAAATGTATTCGATCTTGCATTAAGCATACCATATGTTCATTGAATATTTTACTAAATGGTACATTTTTTTTTTGATGGCAACGATTATTCGATCGAATTCAAACGACGTTGGATAAAAATCAATACCATAAGTATTGACTGCATTATGATGAATTATTTTATAAGTATTATTATTTATTTTATCATCGTGCTCCAAAGTTTGCTGATGATGAATCTCGAACAGCTTCTTGAAAAGCTTTATCAAACCGTGGAAGCACGTAATGTAATGAAAATGTTTTTCTTAATTGAAATGTTGTTGAACTTGTTGAAGAATTATCTAATGGTTAATAGATCATTGGTCAGATAGTGCATCAGTAAGTTGTAAATGATTTCAACTCAATAATGATTGATCAGCCATTGAGTTGATGTATATGGACTTGGTAGAAATATTTTAAGTTGGTGCTGCTGTTCTCTGTAGTGGTGTACACTATTAATATTGAAAAATGATAAATTATTTGATTCATGGAAGTGCAATTATTGTTTGAATGTATCAGATATTTTTTGTTTAATACCACAACTCTGCTAAAACAAAAGAAAACAAAGTTAATCAACTAAAGGAAATGAACAAATATTTACTTATTACTTGAAAAACTTTATTTTTCTTAAAAACTCCAGTTTTTTTCGAATGTTCTTTCAATCTCAATGATTGATTTGTTAATAACATTATCATCTGTATTAGTCGATATTAACTCTTCAATTGATAATGAACTTAAATGTTATAATAATACACCATGAATTTCGTCTTCTGAAATAAATAAAAAATAGACCGAATACTAAAATAGTAAGTGATTTGCCGATAGATTAAAATTTGTCAACGTATTTATCCAAATCATTACCAGCCAATCATCTGGAGACATTTTCAACACTCCACTCTATATATAATTAATCTAAAATAGAGTAGACAAATAGATAAAATGAAAACTATATTTTTACTTGTTCTTAAGTCTTCTATAAGGAAATAATACGAAGGATTTCAAAACATGTTGAATAGATATACCAATAGCATGAAATTAAAAAATATTACTCAGCAAAAGTTCACAGATAAAACACACGAATGAAACACAAGTTTTTTATACGACATAAAAAAAACAAGTCATTATTAGTACAATGATTTTCTCGAAATAGAAATAGAATTTCGAATATTGTTTAAAACTACTGTTGATTTTCGATTTTCCGAAATGAATCTGTCTAAAAATCAAACATTTTCTAACTATTTCGAATTCGACCAATAAATAATGTCATTTTCAAAATCCTTTAGCATTTTTAAAGTCGATTTTCTAAAAAATAGAATTTATATAAAATTTACAGTGCATGATCTTTCCAGTAATCAATCAAAAAGATACTATTGATGGATGAATGAACATGAAGTCTTCTACTGTCGTCTGATATGTCCCTTCTCTTTGTCATAAACTTTCCTATTTTTACTGAAGGTATATCTTCCAGATTGTTATTAGTTTAGACTTCTTATATGAATTCCATAAGTGATTGCGTGAATCTTTCGATAACAATAAAAAATCATCTTGTCTTCCTTCCACTTTCTTTAAATAGGACATGTATTTTGACAAGTTCGAGTAAGTGATAAACAATACCAAATATTCTAAAAAAAACAAAATTAGTATTGAAAAATTCATATCATGCATATTTATTACTATAATTGTGTAACTAGTAAACGACAAACCTCTCCATAAATATGAGCCAGCTATATCCATATACTTATTTAAGTAATTTTTTTAGACTGATGCATAATCATTTTCTATCTATTTTGAAGTACGAATATGTCAAAACTTAATTTTAATGAAATATTCACTGATAATCAAAAGGACACTTATAGTAAGGAGATAACAGCCAAACTATAAACAACGACACAGCAGCATTTACTCTTATACCATTGGTACTTTATTAATACTTGCCGAGGATTATTGACGATGCCATCCAGTTTACTATTTATAACATAAATCAATATTGAAAACAGTTCGACAAGAATATTTTATTCGTTATATTACACATACGAACATATATATATCTACAAATTACTGAGTATCATGTTATCAAAAAAAGCAACCTAGAATACTCTTTTATGTGAGTATAAGATTTTACACTCTAAATATCTTCTTCAGTGTTTTTTTTAAATTTCGTCTAGCTTAGTATTAGCAAGAACTGTATCATTGATGGTTAGCTTATATCAACGTCTTTAACACAATATAAACAACCTATATTCTCTCAAGGACAAAAATATAATTCTTTTTCAATTCTTTCTTTTTCTTTCTCTCTATCCCGTATGATTGTGTATGACCTTGTATGTCATTGTATGAATAAAAAAAAGTAACTATGTTTGTCTAAACATATTATATTTCGTTGCCGTATTTTTTTTTATTTTGTGTTTATTTAAAAATGACCTCATTTTGTTATATTTAGAGAGTAGAAGACGGCAATGCAAAGAACAAAAATATTCTCGTGACGTTTCTCAGTTTTAGAGAATAGATATGGTTAAATGCATTTTTTTTGAAAGCTCATTGTTTTCTGTAGTTAATAAGAACCTTCACAAATGATCACGCACTCTAATACCAACAATCGATTCTAATAAAAATAGCTCAATACTCTGTTGTCCTTTGATATCATCAATACCCATGCATATAAAAAAAAACATTCTGCATCATCACATATTTTCTTTTCTTTATCATTCCTTGTCTCACAAGGTATTACTATTGTGCATTAGATTGATACAATTTACATTATTCTTGACAGTTTCAATGATCACTTATCTCATTATCTTATCATTTCAAACTATAATCAACAAAGAGAGAAATAATGTATGACTCAAGCACACAATCATCTATTGCTAAAAATAAGATGCTTGTTTCTTATCAAAGATTGTTATGTGAAGGCCTACGAACATGTTTTTTTGCATTAACTAAATTTTCTTCAATATTTCGGATTTGTTTTCAATATCTTATGCCATAAAAATATAGAATTTTTCATGGGATGAATTAGAAGAATTCGAGTCTTAAATGTCCTTTGAAAACTGTTTTTTCAAAAATGTCTCCTTACTAGAACCTCGCATTGAATTTAACTATGACAAATTCTAATAATGAGCAGCAACATAAAATAACATTTAAATCATCTATTGATTTAATACAATTTATTTTAATTTTATTATCAATAGCTATGAAAGATAACAGAAAGTCAAGCTATATGAAATAAAAAATAATTTTTTTTTGTTTTTCCTTTTCCTTTAATCTAATATATAATAATAAAAATAAAAACGTTGTTTAATTTTCGGCCATTTCGAGGCCATCGTCTGAACATATCCGACGTTGATGAATATGATGTTGATGAATAAAATAATGACATTTCCATAATGACTGTTGTACAATGTTTTTGTACGATATGAATGGAATAATCTAATATCACAAGATCGTACTTGTAGCAGCAATTGTTTTTTTACTACCTTGTACCATTTTGACAAAGAATAAGACAAACACGAAATTTTTGAACCAATTATTGACATGGTACTTGTTTTTTTCTCTATTTAGAGAAACAATGCTATTATTGAAAAAAAATAATAAAAAAAATTTGGTATTTGTCTTATTCTTTGTCAAAATGGTACAAGGTAGTAAAAAAACAATTGCTGTTACAAGTACGGTCTTGTGATATTAGATTATTCCATTCACATCGTACAAAAACATTGTACAACAGTCATTATGGAAATGCCATTATTTTATTCATCAACATCATATTATCATCAACATCATATTATCATCCACATCATATTCATCAACATCGGATATGTTCAGACGATGGTCTAGAAATGGCCGAAAATTAAACAACATTTTTATTTTTATTATTATATATTAGATTAAGGAAAAAGAAAAAACAAAATAAAATTATTTTTTATTTCATATAGCTTGACTTTCTGTTGTCTTTCATAGCTATTGATAATAAAATAAAAATAAATTGTACTAAATCAATAGATGATTTAAATGTTATTTTATGTTGCTGCTCATTATTAGAATTTGTCATATTTATAATTAATCCATGTCTCCATTAGATTTTTAATGTTGTTTGAATTTAGCTCTTGAAGTGTTCTTGAAACATTGAAAAGTCGACTTCAATTTTATGACTATTCAATTCGAAAACTACTTATAAGTTTGAGAAATTCTATCTTACATACCATTATACCTAGAATAATGTATCTTCATAGTGCATGATTATTCAGTTTATATCCATCTAAAAATGGTTTAACTGCCAATGATAAGGCAAATAATCATTTGTTCAAAGAAAAATCATTCAACACCTTTAACATTACTCGAACCTTGCCTAGATATTTTGTATTAAATATTTTATACATTAATTGTTTCCTACAATAAACAAGGATAAAATTAAGCGATGTAAATTATAGAATAATTTGAAAATAGTCAATACATTACTCACATGATTTAATTATAGTTTTACAAGATTTTAAGGCTTGAATACTATCTCCGGTAAATGGGTCAGAACAAAGATTGATTTTATGAATCAATTATTAATGAAAAAAATAAAATAAATGTATATGTGATATTAAGATTATGCCAGCTTCTTTGAACGAACTGCTCAAACTCAGCAATATTTCAATGAATTATTAGTCGATCAAAAAAATACACGCTTTAAGAATAGGGGTGAGAATTTATTGTTATTGTTATTAATAACAATAACTATTTTGTTATTGTTATCAGTAATAATAACTTTTTTTTGTTATTGTTATTAATAACAATAACTTTTTTTGCTATCTGTTATAAATAACAGAAAAATAACAAATAACTTTTTTTTCTGGAAAAGATCCTGTCTCACTTCCCTGTATATATTAATTGTACCCATTAGATGGGCTTATGCTTTGGAACGATCCCCTAACGTTTATAGTGCTGAATCATGTGATACAATCAACAGAAACTTCGCCCTGAGTTTTCAAAAAAAAAGTTATGTGTTATTTACCTGTTATTTATAACAAATAACTTTCTGAAAAAAGTTATTGTTATTAATAACAATAACTTTTTTGTTATTGTTATTGTTATTAATAACAACAAGATAACAATAACTTCTCACCCCTATTTAAGAATGATTGAATCGATCACCGATAAAGATGGATATAATCAAACAATCTCTTTGTTTGATTTCGTTTCTTGAACAAGACGTTGACGATGTACATAGGTAACAATGTTAATGATTGAAAACAATATCGTTCCCTGAATCTGGTGGTAATTTTGAGCGCTTTTGTGTAATAGTATTATCAGTAAAGCTGAACTCGCGTTCAACTGCTGCACTGGTAGCTGGTACAGCTAAACACGAGCAGTAGCTTCCACCAAAATAGGATAAGAAGCATGTTTCTTCTTCGAAAATGATAATAGACAATATTCTTCATCTTCCTGACCAGAATCCGTCACTGATGTGTTTTATCTGCATCATACTTTAAATACAAGTCAATTTGGATTATATGTGATGAAGACTTTGACGAACCGTATTGATCAGCATGATCTTCGTCATCAAATTCTACATTTAAATAAAAATCTGTCACGTTTAGAAATAAAGCATTTGTTGATAATGAAACTGATTTCTCGTTTGAAGATGATTTAACATGTTGATTAACATCAAAAAGCAACAGTTCTTCTTTTACGTATTCAATACATTCTTCTCTTTATTTTGTTGACAACTGCTTCATGTTTTGTGTCTTAGGATTGAAGAAAGTTTTCATGAGATGTATGGAATCGAAAGAAATCAATTCTTTGATCACTTGTTGTTCTCGTTTACAGAAAAAATCAATACCTGTAAAAAAAGTTATTTAGTAAAAGCAGATAAAGAAAATTGTAATCATTGACCTTTTTCTTGTTTATAATCACTTGGCTTATATCTAATGAGGAATTTATTACAAATATACTTGGTGTTACCGTATGTATTGATGATACTTGCAATGATTGAATACGTTTCATTACATGAATCCATGGTTTTAAAAAATCAATCATTTTATCTAGCATAGATGATCTAATTATATCAATTCTTTCCTTGTTCAAACTTTTTTCATTAAATATTTCAAGTAATGGATTTAAAGACCTAAAAAGAATTAGTTTTTTTATTGAACCGTTTTCTATAAAAAGAAAAAAAGAAAAAAAGCAGACATCAAACAACACCTACTTAATGGATATTATTTTATCAAATCTTTTAGAGGGTATAGACTTTCAAATTAAAACCTTTTTGCCCAAAATTTTCAGAGAAAAAAAGTTCTAGTCGAAAAGTCTAGGACTCTTAAAAGGTTCTTAAAATAGTACCTATTGAAAAGGTTCTCTATCTGGTAAGAATTTTTTAAAAGCGTTCAGATTTTCTATTTTCTCTAAGTTAGTAACAAAAGAATCTTGATATTGGATTTACATTTTTTTTTGGTATACGTCGTCAGTTCTTTGTACTGGATAATAGCTACTAAAACACGTTTTGAAACTAATAGTAATTGAGCAAGAATATGGAGAACATTGATTCGACTTGGTGTTGTAAAGGTATAACTAACAGATATGGTTCTTTGATCAAGTAATTTATTATCATCACAAGAGCTATTATCTTCTTCGCTACTACTTCCATTAATTTGATCATCGTCATCGTCAATTGAATCAATATAATAATCACCAAATACTGTATCTTTTCTTGCCTAATCTATTTCACTTTGATAGAATGTTTCTACTCAATACACCACCGTGAATTTCTCCAATGTTTTCTTCAGGTTACTTTCTCTATTATATACCAAAACTATATCAAATACAAATAGTTGCAAATCACAGGAGAACAATATCTCTTCAATCACCTACATAAGTATATGAAAATCAAATTTAATTTGTAGTAAAAGACGAATTTACTTGAATTATATTTGCTATAGTTTTATTAGGTTTTCTCTATAGTAAACAAGCGTTGTTTTTCTCGATGTGATTTGTTATTCGTCCGTGTAAATTTCTAATCAGAAAAATGTTAAAACTATCTTTGTAGCGAGCGACATCTGATTGTAACATGAATGTTTCCTTTGATGTTGTTTTCTTTAACATAAGGAGAAAAAACCTGTCGAATGAAAATAATATTCATTTTAACTTTAACTTGACCATAATCATAATTTGTTGTATTCATTAAAACATGCATCTAATCGGCTTGTTGACATAATTGCATCAAATATTCTTCTGATTGTCCTTTTTCTTCAACGAAACATTCTTAAGCCCCCCCCCCCCTCAGAAAATCGCCTTTTTCAGGAAAATATCGAAGTTGAGTTTTTACTATAGGAAGATGCAGTGAAGCTTCCTCTTTCAGAATATATATAGTTTTGTGGAAAATGATCGGATTTTCAAAGACTTATCGTATGAAAATTAAAATCCACTGCCATGTTTTCGTAGAAAACTTCATGGTTTTTTCAGGTTGTCAGTTTCAGAAAAATTGCCTTCCCATTAGCATTATCGTTGAACAGGACATTTTCATACCAATCACCATGTTAGATGGAGCTAGCTGTCGCCATCTATGACGCCCTTTAAGACGGTTCAGTGGAATATACCACCGTAACATGACTTGTTCTGGGTTTTAATGAAAAAATCCACTTCTAAAATTTCTTTAGCATTTTTCTCAAAACATGGTTTCTAGACAGAAAAATTGAAATAACTCCCGCTCGGCTCGGTATATAGCCAATGTTTTTTTTTTGTTTTAAAGGTCTTAACCAGAGCTAACTGTTCATCGAACGGATTTTTGATATTTAATTCCAGGGCTGAGAAAAGTGGGATTTGCTGTCATACAGTCACATTTTTTTATGCTTATTTTGCAGACATGCCCACAAAATTGCTCGTAAAAAAATGAATGGAAGGGAGTTTCAAATTCTGTTCGATGAAAAGTTGCGTACAGAGGCTAGCTACAATTTGAAACCAACCCGAGCTCTGTATCCCTTCTCTGGATGGAATTATTTCGATTCTTCCGAAAGGTAGGAAAACCAATCAAAACTGCGATTTGGTCGGACACGTGAAGCTGAAATTTTTATCATAAGCGTTTCTCACTAAGACCAATCATTCCTGAAAATTTCGGCCCAAACGAAGGGTCCCAAGTGGGACTTCATTTCTGAGGGGGGGGGGGGGGAGGAGCTCTTAAAAGAACAAAAGAAAAATTCAGAGAATATAACATAATAGTTTGACTTTTACTCGACTAAATGTATAGTCAATCTTTAAAATTTCAACGTCAGTCTTAATATTCGATGATCGTATGATTTTCATTTTTTTGCCAATACTTCAGATGAATAAGCGAATACTTGTTGTTTTAATGATCATGCTAAAAGACTCTAAATGAGAAAAAAAATTAAGTAAAGATGAAAAAAGTATTCGGTCTTCCACCTAACATATCATATCTTCACTAATAGTATACCAAGTGCTAGATATTTATTTTTGACTTTAACCATCATTTGATCGAATTCAAATGCTGTTGAATAAAAATCGATACCACAAGTATAGACCACATCCTGACGAATTGTTTTAACTAATTGTTCTTTCTTTCTGCATCATGCTCAAAAGTCTGTTGGTAATGGATCTTCAGCAACTTCTTCAAAAACTTTATCAAACCTTGATAGCACATAATTCAATGGAATTTTTTTTTTGATTGAGATGTTGTTCAGCTTCTTGAAGAATTATCCAATGGTTAATGGATCATTTTCTCAAGTGGTACATCAGTAAGTTGTAAACAATTTGAATTGAATAAAGATGATTGAGTTGACGTATATGAAGTTGGTGGATATACTTTGAATTCGTGATGCTATTCAACATCGTATTTTACACTGAAAAAAAATGTATCAAACGAAACCTTTAAGGTTCAGTGGTATTTTATGTTATTCTAAGTGTCCATACGCTCTTACGAAACTTCACAAAGGTTCGGTAGTAAAAAAAAGTTTCATATCTTACTTCTGTGAATTTTCAAAATCATGAAAGGTTTCGTAGTCAAAACGGTTCCGTATCATACTTCTATCATTTTTTAAAATCACGAAAGGTTTCGTGCTAAACCTCATTAAAGTATTGCAGTCGATATATTCCACATAAGCGACCGCTCCTTAGCTTTAATTACGACTGGAGAGATTGGGAATCAATAACACAATCAATCGATTCTTAATTGTTCTAAATCAATGTCTATGAATATTGTCCACCGAAATTCATGAATAGTCTGTTGTTTGAGTTGGACGAGTCTTTCGATTAATGTGGAACTCTTAATCTTCTTATGTATTATGATGAAATTCACGTTCTTGAACTCTAATTTTTTGGAAAAAATACTTCTTCTCATACATACATCAACTGCAAAGAAAAAATTTTGGGTGTGGGTATGAGTAAACAAAAGAGATCTACACCCACATCCACCGCACCCCACCCTCTCTTTTATAGAGCAAAAACATGGAATTCAATGGAGATTAACTGTTCATTTATTAAAAAATTTGTGTAGTTTTTTTTTCATTATAATTATGAATTTAAATTAGATGGTTTTTGTTTACGGTTTTTTTTATAAACGATATACAATTGTACATCTGTCTCGTTAACTAAGTGTATGTGCAAGAACATATAGATATCAGTACATAAATTGTAAAAAATGAAAGTTCAAAAGCAAATGATATTATGAAATTGACATAAATAGAATTGGTATATAACAAAAACAATGATCTAACATAACTTAAGCACTGTTTTCAAAAAAATCGCAAATCAAAATAGAAATAAAAGTTCCAGAGAATATTTTAGTTTGAAATTCATCTAATTCAGTATGATATATGTAATGTAAGGTTTTGTACTGTATGTGTGTTCAATTGATTTATACATTTTTCGTATTATTATTAGTAAGCAATTCGTTATAATATTTAATCAGAGTGTAATTTGAAGAACATAAAATGGTTTTTCATAATAAATCGAAATGAAAAAAAGGGAATAAATCTCTGATAAATACGTATACAAAAAGTATCTTGATATTATCCATTGAATTACCGATATCGATCGAAAAAAAAGTTAAACTCTACATTTTTCTTTTTTTTTATTGATAGTACCAATATTTTCAAATGACCTAAAGCAAGATCTGTATTTGGGGTGTGAGGGTGTGGGTGTGGGTTTTGGCTAGAAAGAGGAGAACAACAACCACACCTACATCTACACCCACACCCACACCCACCCCATCCTATACAGTTCGAAAGAGGGAAAAATTTCCTATCAATTAATAAAAAAATTATCGTTCTAACATTTGCTTAAAGACAAGATATAATAGTCGGTATTTTGTGCTGTTATTTTGAAATATACGAAAAATGCGGAAATTTTTTCTCGGGCGCTTCTCTTTTTTTTCCATAGGATTCTACCTATGAATGTCTGATAAAAATAACTTACATATAGGTCGAAAGAGAAGAAAATTTCCTATCGACTGATAAAAAAATTTTCCTTTCAGAACCGTGTCTATGAAAAATTGTAAAGGTCGATATTTTATACCATTACTTTTGCATCATATCTTATAAATATTTCAAATCAAATTTCTCAATCAAGAGAATACTAATGAATTGTTAATTGAAATCATTATTTAGTTATAATTCAGAAGGTACTCTGCAGTCTCGTGCATATTTTTGATGATGGCTCATGATAATGAAAATAGATTATAATTCTTGAGTTTTATGAAATTGTAGACGTAATGATCCCATGCTCGGCATGTAATCAAGGATGTATACTTAATATGATGTTAAGTTAAACGTCAATTATTAAATGAAATAAGACTGGAGAAAAATAGAATGGTTTTTTAACCCCGGCCATCATAACGGGCGCACTTCTCGACAATCCGCGTTTGTCTTTACAGAAAGAAAGGAAAAAAATGTTTTTCTTTTTTTCTCTGTTCCATTTTTGTCTGCGCTGCGCTTCATTTATGTTAATGTTTAATGTCGTTCAGTGATAGAATAAGTATAGAACTACCATAAGGAGTCATGGTTTTCAGGGGAATCCTCTCAGAAACGAACTTTGTTATTTCTCATCCGATTTCAATCAAAATTTCAGAGAATGTTAGTCTTGACTAGAATAGCTTATGGTTAAAATATCTCCCACAAATCTCAAAGAAATGCACAAGTTCTAGTCAATTCATTACCTTTTACGCAGACAAGGATTTCGCAATAAGGATACGAGCTAACATGCTGGGCCGGTTCTCAGGTTATAGAGTACCCTTAGCGCTAGGTCGTAATAGAGTCCGATTTTTGAATTTCCCTTTGTTTGATTTTTAAAAAATCTTTTTCGTAAAATTCACGAAATCATGCCCAAAAAATTGCTAACAAAAATAAAATATCTAAGTTTCTTATTTCACCAAAAGAGAAATTCAAAAATCGGACTCTATTATGACCTAGCCCTAACTGTCTTCTATTCAACGAAAAAAAAATTATCCCTTATCTATTAAGTCGTTATTAAAAAATCCTTGAACGCGTAATTGGTATACTCGAAAAAATTGATTTTGAGAAAAACGGAAAATAAGTATTAGAAGTCGATTTTTCCGAAAATCACCTGACTTATATGTTAATGTTCAAGATAGACTATAAATATGTGATCTAAATATTAAGTGTTCATAGTCTCTTAGTGATTAGTATTTTAAAAAAATTTACGAAATGCTGATGCAAAGAGAAAGCAGCCTAAAAAGTCGAACAAGTTTGAAAAAAAAGTCGTGAAAATTTCTCAAAAAATATGATTGTAGGAGCGAAGTTTTACACGATAAATTCGTCAAAATCAATTCATTTTTCGATAAACCATAGATATTCTGAAAGAGGAGACTTCGGTGCATCTTCCTATGATAAAACTTCAATTTCGGCTCATCTTCGAAAATTGAATTTTCTGAGGGGGGGAGGGGAAGCCTTTCATCATTATTAGTTGATAAAAATTTCGAACTTTTTCTTGACTATTTTGTTTTGAAAATTGTAATTCTACAAATAAAAAACGACGGTCAACAATAGTACAAACTGATTGTAAAATTTGCGGAGCACCTGCTAAATATTCAAATTTTGGCGTAATTTCATGTTCTACATGTAAAACGTTTTTCAAACGAAATGGTCAACGTGGAAAAGTCATTTGAAAATATAGATTTTCTTTGAATTATATATTCATTCATTTTATTTTTCTGTTTCTAGGAAGCATTGAAATGTCCCTATGATGGTCATTGTGAAATAAATATAAATAATCGTCATATATGTTCTCATTGTCGATTGGTCAAATGTTTAAATAGTGGAATGCAAGTTGAGATGATTCAACCTTCATTTGCAAAAAGAAATAAACCAAATCGAAAACAAAAATCAATAAAAGATTCAAAACAAATAACATCAACAGCTTTACGTAGATTAAATGAACCTGAACAAGTAAGACTATTTGATTATCATACTTCAGTATATGATTACAGAATATTAGGTCATTGTTTTACAAGTATAACTGCATTGAATAGTAAATTAAAAATAGAGATGGTTTTTGAATGCATTATCTTAGTTCGTAGACATCTAACATTCGTATGAAGATCGTATGTTGAAAGAGCACTTCGCATCCAATCGATTAATAATTTTTCTTTTTCTGTTGATCGATCCTTGTTTGATGATGTATTTCACTATCATCTTTTACACAAAGTTTCGAGTTGTTGTTCATTCTAAGAGAGATTTTGCATGTTTGTAGCATTCAATGCTGTCTAAGAATAGAAATATTTCTATTTAAAATACTATCGAATTTCTCAGAACTGTCATTGGAAAATTTTAGAAGCACGAGCGTTGTGAATTTATCAGTATTCTATCCATTTATATGCAGAGTTTGTCTTGAATAGAAATAATAAAATAGATTTTACATTATCTTGATTTTCATACATAAGTCATTGTGACCTCTGTTCTATAAAATAAAAAGCTATGATTATCCTCTTTCTAATATCTTAGAAACTTTCATGACAGATACATTTCGATGAGAAGAGAAAATATTATCATAGACTGAAATTTCTGAAATGTTTCGTACTCAAGAGTTATTGAAAGTACAGAAGCTATAAAATAACTTGATGTGTTTTCCTTCCCATGAAAATCTATACTTTAATATATATAACGTAATGTCTAATGTCTATTATTGGGTTAAAAGTCATCGAATGAAACTTAACATGAGCAGAATAATTCTAAAATCCTCTAGTACTTTGTAAAATTTTTTGAAGCATTCTAGAAAATTTTCTCGAATCTTGTAGAACCATCTAGAGTCTTTTAGAACAGTTCTCTTTATTGTCAAGATTTTGTGGAATATTCTAGAGTATCCCATAAGATATTACTATGGGTATCTGATACTGACTCAAGTACAATTTTCACGAGAACTCTCTAACTGTCCTCCCATGGAATATCGGTCAGCCTCATCCAAACGAGTACAAAATAGTAATGTGTAAATCATCGAATAGATTAGTTCATTGCTTTTTGCTGTTGAGTTCTAACTTTCTTGGTATATCGAATTTTATAAGTGATACTTAACGAACAATTTATTTTTATTTTTATAAGCCGAAAGATGTGTACGCATGCTTGAATACCATTATGTTCGACTTGTTTCTGTTATAAGATTATACAGCGTTTAGAAATGAAACGATGTGAAATTTTATTAACAGGACAGAAATATAGAAAAGTCTTTAACTGAAAAATGAGACATTCCACAATGCTGAACGATGGTCAGTTGAAATTTTAGATATAAAAACAAGTGCCATTATAAGATAAGTACGATATTCATTATTGAAACATTCATAAGACTTATTGAAATATATCTCCGTGTGTTTGTGAATTGTATATAAGCTTCGAAGATTACGTTACTTAGCAGAGTCGTATCGGTACATGTCTCATACAAATTTTTTCTCAATTTCTTCAAAGCTTGATAGTTTTTAAAAACAAAATGTCCTAATAAGCATAGTTTAATGTATCTATACTGAGATCCATGAAGTGCGAATGACAGGTAAATTTTCGATTTATTAATAACTATCATAGTTCTTAGACAATTTGAAAATTCTAATCTATTGAATCTTGTACATTTCTGTGCTTGTAAGCAAATCTAGTCATAGCAACAACACAAAAAAATTTAATCACATAGAAGTCTACCTCTCAATTTTTGACTTACGAAACAATTTTGAAGTCCAGTGGGCTACTATCCTGTGAGGAAGGGTGAATTAGTTGAATAGATTTTTTTTAGACTTATATAAATTGTCTATCTTCTACCAATAGTGATTGGTTTTTTTTTTCGTTGTTTAGTTTCCTACTTTGAATCTTTTACGATCAGATCAATCGACATTAACTGTTGATCAATGGAATTTACTCTCAAATATATCACATTGTTATGATGCATATAGTGGATTATCAATAGGTGAACGTTTCATGCTTGAACAAAATAATTTACCATTTAAAATACGTTTTAAACAAGGACCAATAGTGAACTTTGTTGGAATGATATTAGATAAATGTCAATCATTGTATACAAATAATCAAGATTTTCTCTCTTTATCTGCAGATGATCGTTCAATTTTATTGCATAATTTATTTAAACATACAGGAAGTCTTTGTGCAAATTTTATCGGTTATAAAATTCATTTATTTGATTGTCCGGCTTACTTCAATACTCTTGAAATAATTACTCATCCAGATGTATTACCTGCTGCTAAACGTATAGCAAAGCGACTTAATTTTGATATAATTATTATGAAATTATTTCTTGCTATTCTTTCATTTTCGACAACTCGTTATACAGTCTATTTAAAAACTTCTCCAGACAATTTATCAAATATCAAACAAATCTTATGTATTCAAGATATATATATTGAAATGGCATGGCGATATTTAGTTTACAGATATAATTTTGAACAAGCTGTTATATGTTTTTCTGATCTTATTAGAGGTTACTTTGCTGTTGACGAAGCTGTTGTTAAAACGCAAGAAGTTCAATGGCTAACAGATACAATTTCATCGGTTGTTACCCAAACCGAACAAACTCTAACTCTCAATTAATTAAATGTTTTGTTCGTTTTCTATTGTATCAACTGTATTGATATGATGTTGAGTATTTAAGTTTTAATAAACATTATACATTAAGATGAAAAAGATGGATTTATATTTGAAAACAAAAACTTGCAAAATCTCTGAATTAGAGATGTTTGAGACCAAGTTTTTTTTTTCGTCCACTTATAGCCCTGGAAAATCTGGTCTAGTCCGAGTCCCAGTAACTTCTTTTCTAGTGGTCTCGATCTAGATAAAACTATTCCAGAATTGATTTATATCATATCTAAAAGAGTTCTTTCATATTTGTATTTTGAGTTATTTAGTCAATGACTAGCATTTTTTTTGTCCCCGCTATGGATCTACACAAAAACAAAATCTCGTTGAGGAAGTTTTGATCTCGAAAAAATAACCGACCATACATCAGAAAAACAAAATCTAACATTGTTTCTTTTTCCCTCACGATCAATTTTTTAACAGAAAAATTGAAGTTTTTTTCCAGACGCTTCGACCGATTGAGTTAAAATTTTTTGTATGACAACTAGGATCAAATCTGGATGTATGTATATATATATATTTTTCTTATAATAATGTTCTAGTAATTTTGAGAAGATCGTACAAAATTTGCTGTGAACAAAAAAAAACACATTTCTTTAGGAAATAACAAACAAATATTTTTCTTCTAAGTAATCTCTACTCAATGTATTACTCATTGATTTTTAGGTATGAGTGTGAGCATAATATATCATTATATAAAGATTCGACTAATGTAGTGATTTACAGATTTTACGAAAACTATTGTAACATCTATAATGAGTCTATTCGTGACGAAATATTAGAATTATTGAAGAAAATTTGTCGTTTTCATGGGTAATCAAGAACAATTTCGTTCGTTTTAAGCAAGTTTTTTTGCCTCTATGAAATATTAATTATTACAAATAATTGTAATAGAAAATTATTTAAATCTCGAGTAACTCCAAATAGAATTTGTCTAAAACTGAACATAGACAAGTTGATAAAAGATCAAAAGATAAACAGTGATAATTTAACAATTCATAAGAAATCAATAATAAAATGTAAAATCGATTTAATTTAAGTCCATCAGATATAGTTACCATAATCTATAGATTTTGTATTATATGGTTTAGATTATATTAGAAAAGAAAATGAAAATAGATTAGAAGGGTATGGACATTCATTCTACTCGTACCTGCATCCCCACCTACACCACCACAACCACACTCACATCCGACTCGACCTCATCGTCACCAAATCGTTGATCTACAGGGCATCTGAATAAAAGAACAAAACACGAGGAATTTTCTATTTTCTTGAACAATCATGTTGTTTATTGGAATCAATATTTTTAACACGAACAAGTAATGTGCTTTTCTTTTATTCAAAATTGAACATCATCCATATTATCGTAATCTGAGTTTGTATTTTGCAACAACTTTTTTCGATGCTTTCAGCGGACTTCTTCCATTTTATCATTTCAAAAATTGTTTTTTTTGTCGATTAGGACTTTTCTTATCTACCACCGGCAACTGTATTACAGCTTTTTTCGATTCTTGTTTTTTCATTTTTGGCTTGACGGAAGACCTCATTGATCCCTGCGTTGAATTGATGATCAGGAATGGCACTTGTTTGTAATTCCATAAAATCTAAAACGAAAAACAGCGATTTTTGAGGGGCTGGGAGTGGGTGTAGGTCTGTTTGAAGAGAATAGACATCCACACCCACACCCTCATCCTAGTTTTTTAGTCGAGTCTTTGGTAAATATCGATGTTTTTTTCGATACTTTTAAATTTTTAAGAAAAGGTTGTAGAAAATGCGGCGATCTCTTAGTCTGATTGTCTATGAGAAATTAATATTTGCCAAGCAATAAATTTATTTCATACTGTGTATAGTCAAACAGAAAACGAGAAAAGAAAGGTAAAATGAAGTGCACACACACACACATCCACACATATATAAGAAATATCAATAAATTTATGGTTTCCATGGTTTATCCGAAATATTACTAAAATTTGATCGTTCCGAAGCAATTGATGAACGTGAACTTTGTTTTGATGTTTGTGTTTGTGAACGTGATAAACGACTACCACTATCAGTTGGTAATAAATTTTTTTCAAGTTGTGTATTTAATTCTTCAATATCATGATTAGTAAATTCTTCACGTATATTATATGTAACCATAGGACCTGGTGAAGGTCGTGTTACACTAGCAACAGATTGACCAACCGGTGCTTCTTGACGATTTGTATTCATTGATTGTGAACGTTTAAGTTTTGTTGATGGTGTTTGTGGTGCACTTGGTAATGTCCATGATAATGGACATGAACCACTTAAAAGACCGCGAGGAAACTTTCGAATAGCATATTTCAAACCTAAAAATATAAAATATTTTTAGAGTGGGACGGAGCGCTGAACTTTCTTTTTTAATAAAAAAAATACAATTTCAGTTGAGAAAAAACTGAAAATCTTCTAAAAGTGATAGCACGCATCTCTCACGCCTCGGGAACTAGAGCCCGTTAGGCCCTACTCGGACCCAGAAATTCTTGGACTTAACCGACAAAAGATCAATCAGCTAGGTCCGAATTCAACAGTTTTGATCGATCTGTTCCGGGCCCAAAAATTTTTGAACTTGATGGACTCTACCGTGAACCCTAGATTCCTAGTTATATAGTTAATGTTTCATTTTAATAATGTACATTTAACTTTTATAACAAAAAGCCCTGACATTATTGAGAACAGCTGATTATCTACTAGCAATAATCTCCTCAAATCAGTTCAATCGCTTCATTGTTGTGTAGGGTTGATATACGAACAGCTCTGAAATACAATATAAATTAATAAGAGTTTTGTACGCTCTAACATAAGTTATCATCTCAAAGATAATTAGTTCTATTCATATGTAAAGAAGCTTTTACATTAATTATCAATTTAAGTTTTATTTCAAATTATAGAATGATGTCCTTTAATAGTTCATTTTATTCAATCACAGAACATGATGTTAGTTGAATCTAATGGCAAATATTTAAAATATCAATACAACTCAAATCGCAAGCTTTCAGAATAGTTTCTATAATATTTATCTGTATAAAATTAAATATATACATTTTCGAGCCAAAAAAAAAATTTAACTACACCTACATGCATTGTTTAATAATATCATCAATCAATTGATTATTATTATTTGTTGTTTAGTTAATATACAATAAGTTCGATAAACAGTATGTCTTCAACACGAGAGTCGAATTATTTAAAAATGCTGCTTTTCTATTGACAATATTTATCAGATAATGACTTCTTCAGTTATTGTGTAATAAGTTAGATGAAAAGTCAGGTAACAGGAAATGTAACTTTTTCAATTCATGATTAAAAAGAAAGCAATGTGTTCATCGCCTAAAGTGCGGATATAAAATATTATTAACTAAGCATATGGTATGCGATAATTTCATGATTTTCAAATATTTTAAACGTCGATATTTAAGATTGTTTTTTTTTGTCTCACTATGTCATTTCAAAATTATACAACTTTCAGTATTGTTTTATTGACCTTACTTTTCATGAAAAATAAAAGAGAAAGAAATCTTTCTTTTTTGTCAATTATATAGAAGAATTCAATTTGAAGAAATCTAACGATCAAAATTATTGAACAATCGATTACAATAACAACATGTCTTAGAAGACTTTTTGTTATTTATAGAGTTCTTTTTATTTTGTCATTTTAAAAGTAAGTTAATTCTAAGTCTTTTCATCGAAATGATTTTTATTTCATAACAGCTATAAGATTTATCCAATTAATTCTTTTTATTTGCATATAGTATACATCGTATTCTATTGATCTTTAAGGATAATAAACTTTTTTTTATTAATGAAAATGTTATTGTGATGATGATAATGACAAAAAGAAAAAGGTTTTCTAAATAAAAACTTAATGTTTTCTTCTATGTGAAAGATGATCTTCAAAAATGTCGAATGTAACTTAGTAATAATCGTACAATGTATTAACATCCCTAGGAGCCATTATACGAAAGAGACGATCCAAGTACAGACCATATACATCACTTGATCGTGTCTATCATGCAATAACTCCTAGATGTTTCTTCATTTACAATTTGTTAGAAGTTTTTTTGTTTCATATAATAGAATTTGTTAATTGAAATAGAAAAATTCAAATGATATTTCTTTATAGTTTTCAGTAATTGATTAAATAATAAAGATTAATGATAATGAAAATATTAGATAACAAAAGTGCATAAGAAGGATTCAAAATAAAATCATGTATTTTTTCTATTATAATATCTAGGAAACAAGAAGTGAAGTAAGATAATAGGATAGACAAATGTTTTTCTTTTTCTATTAAAACTTATTATAAAATACTAAATCTAAGAATCAATTAGAAAATTTTACCTCCAGAAAGTAAAAAAATATTATTATAACCACGTTCAACCATAATTGTTGCAGCATTTGGAGCAGTTCGTTCATCTTCATCGTATAAGATAATAATTTTTCCCTTTTGATTTTTCTATTATAAAGTAGAATTAATTTTAAAAAAGAACAAAGTTAATATTATACAATTAGTGTTTTCAAGTAAAAAAAAAAGGATTGTCAACGTCTACATGACATTCAATATATAAATCTAAGATTTGCAAGTGGCAAATCTTTGTAATCTATTGATTCAGACAAAAAATCATATTCAATGTTTTTAGAAAACTTTATTCAAAGAGTTTTTTTTTTCTACATATGACCATTGTTATATATAAATAACAATTAACTGATGAATATAATTTTATTAACATAAAGCATTTAAACTATATATTTTTCAAGGTTTTTCTTTTTCTTCATTGTACTAATATAGTATAAAAAATTAATAGGTTATTATTTAAATACTATTTTTTAAAAACTTATTTTCAATATATAGAGTTAGAAATAGGCGACTGTTTTTTCTCATAGAAGAATAAATAAAAGTTTATTTATCAAGAATATGTCTATATAAATAATAA